CTTCTGGAAGGGATCCATAGGCTTCACCAGACTGCACAAGGAGACACAGAAAAGGTTAAAAACCCCTTCTCTATTCTGTCCACATGCTCCAGACAAATTGGTCAGATTTTTATTCCTTAAATACATTGTTTACTTTTCTTCCTCTCCCTTTTCTTATACTGTTCTCCAACCTTGGAATGCCCTCCTCCCTATCTTTCCCTGTTAAATTTCTTTTTTTAAATTATTAATTTTTAGTTTTTAACATCCACTTCCATAAGATTTTGAATTTTAAATTTTCTTTCCCTCCCTCTTCTCCCCTCTCCCCAAGAAGGCATGTAATCTGATGTAGGCTCTACTTATGCTTTCATATTAAGCCTATTTTCACACTAGTCATGATATATAGAAAAATTAGAACTAATAGGAGGAACCATGAGAAAGAAGAAATAAAACAAAATAGTGTGCTTCCATCTACATTCAGACTCTATGATTCTTTTTCTGGATGTGGATAGTATTTTCCATCATAAGTCTTTTGGAGTTGTCTTAGATCCTTGCATTGCTGAGAAGAGCTAAGTCTATCAAAGTCAGTCATTGCACAATGTGGCTGTTACTGTGTACGATGTTCTCCTAGTTTTGCTCATTTCACTCAGTATTAGTTCATATAAGTCTTTCCAGGTTTTTCTGAAGTCTGCCTGCTCATCATTTCTTATAGCACAATAGTATTCCATTACATTCATATACCACATCTTGTTCAGCCATTCCCCAATTGATGGGCATCCTCTCAATTTCTAATTATTTGCCACTACAAAAAGAGCTGCTATAAATTTTTTTGTACATGTGGGTCCTTTTCCCTTTTTTATGATCTTTTGGGGGTACAGACCTAGAAGTGGTATTGCTGAGTCAAAGGGTATGCATAATTAAGCCCTTTGGACATAGTTCCAAATTGTTCTCCAGAATGGTTGGATCAGTTCACAACTCCACCAACAATGCATTAGTGTTCCAATTTTCCCACGTCTTCTTCAACATTTATCATTTTCCTATTTTGTCATGTTAGCCAATCCGATGGGTGTGATGTAGTACTTCAGAGTCGTTTTGATTTGCATTTCTCTAATCAACAGTGATTTAGAGCATTTTTTTCATATGACTATAGATATCTTTAATTTCTTCCTCTGAAAACTGCCTATTCATATCCTTTGACCATTTATCAATTGAGGAATGACTTGTATTCTTATAAATTTGACTCAATTCTCTATATATTTTAGAAATGAGGCCTTTATCAGGGACACTGGCTGTCAAAATTGTTTCCCAACTTTCTGCTTCCTTTCTAATCTTTGTTGCATTGGCTTTGTTTGTGTAAAACCTTTTTAATTTAAGTTAAACAAAGTCATCCATTTTGCATTTCATAATGTTCTCTATCTCTTGTTTGGTCATAAACTTTTCCCTATTCCATAGATCTGATAGGTAAACTATTCCTTGCTCTCCTAGTTTGCTTATAGTATCAGTCTTTATATCTAAATCATGTACTCATTTTGACTTTATCTTGGTATAGGGTGTAAGATGTTGGTCTATGCCTAGTTTCTGCCATACTATTTTCCAGTTTTCCCAGCAGTTTTTGTTAAATAGTGAGTTCTTATCCCAGACGCTGGAGTTTTTGAATTTATCAAATAGGTTGCTATAGTCATTGACTGTTGCGTTGTACATACCTAACCTATTCCATTGATCCACCACTCTATTTCTTAGCCAGTATCAAGTAGTTTTGATGATTGTTACTTTATAATACAATTTAAGATCTGCTACACTTAGGCCCTCCTTCCCTTGTATTTCTTTTCATTAATTCTCTTGATACTCTGGACTTTTTGTTCTTCCAGATGAATTTTGTTATTGTTTTTTCTAGCTCTACAAAATAATTATTTCATAGTTTGATTGGTATGGCACTGGATAAATAAATTAATTTAGGTAGAATTGTCATTTTTATTATATTAGCTTGGCTTATCCATGAGCAACTGATATTTTTCCAGTTATTTAGATCTGACTTTATTTGTGTGAAACGGGTTTTTGTAATTATGTTCATATAGTTTCTGAGTTTGTTTTGGCAGGTAGATTCCCAAATATTTTATAATGTTTACAGTAACTTTAAATGGAATTTCTCTTTCTGTCTCTTGCTATTGGGCTTTATTAGTAGTATAAAGAAATGCTGATGATTTATGTGGGTTTATTTTATATCCTGCAACTTTGCTAAATTTGTTTATTATTTCAAGTAATTTTTTACTTGATTCTCTAGGATTCTCTAAGTGGTGTACTTACCATCTGCAAAGAGTGATAGCTTTGTTTCTTCTTTGCCTATTCTAATTCCTTCAATTTCTTTTTCTTCTCTTATTGCTAAAGCTAACATTTCTAGTACAGTATTGTATAACAATGGTGATAGTGGACATCCTTATTTCACCCCTGGTTTTATTGGAAATGCTTCTAGCTTATCCCTAGTACATATAATGCTGATGATTTTAGATAGATGCTACCTATCATTTTAAGGAAAACTCCATTTATTCCTATGCTTTCTAGTGTTTTTAATAGGAATGGATGTTGTATTTTTACAATAGATGCTTTTTGTGCATCTATTGAAATAATTATATGATTTCTGTTAGTTTTGTTGTTGATATGGTCAATTATGCTGATAGTTTTCCCGATATTGAACCAGCTCTGCATTCCTGGTATAAATTCTATCTGATCGTAGTGTATTATCCTTGAGATTAGTTGCTGTAATCTCTTTGCTAATATTTTATTTAAAATTTTTGCATCTGTATTAATCTTTACCTATTGAATTTCTATTTGCCCTGTAAAGTTGCCTTCTTTGGAGACTTCTTTGATTCCTTGTCAATAAAAACTTCCCTATTTCCCTCCCTTGATCTAATGTAGAACTTTCTTTTGTACCTCTCTAAATGTATTTATCATTCAATATAGTTTATGTCTTAGAATTCCTGAGTCATAGGATCTCAGAATTGGAAAGGACCTCGAAGTTAGATTGCCTCGTACAACATTCTGACCAGAATTCATCCACTCTCTGGTTGAAGAACTTCAGTAACGAAACAATTACTGGCCCATTGCATGCTTGGCCTGAAGTTCTGCCTAGTGTTTTGGTATTACACTGCCCAATCTGTGAAAGTTACCCTACTCTGCGTATTCCTGACTATAGTATGTCTTCTTAAGTTTTAAGCATTCTGGTGGGAAAGAGTTTTGCAAATCTGTAGCAGATTTTAGTTAAGCTACAAACATTTAATTGTGTGAAAGGTACTCTTAGGAATGGAAAATGATAGAAGACATTGTGCTTGTCCTTAAGTAACCTACCAGTCTAGGGGAAGCAAGACATGAATATATGAAGAAATTAGAGAATAATTGTAAAGCATTCATTAACAGGAGAGCGATTTGCAAGCAGTATTCTGATAGGGACTTAGGCTAATTTTTTTTTCTATAATGGGAGTGAAAGATCAATTGTTTTCACCAAAGGCTTTTACGTGACCATCCTCAGTCAAATGTTAATCTCATCAGAAGTTGTCTGACTAGCCCCTTCCATACTTGTGATTGGTAATGAGCTTTTTATGGCAAAAGTGTTTCTTGCAAAGCCCAGTAGAGAGTTATCTTTACCTAACAGTTTTAGGTTTCATTTTCTCTATGTTTAAATGAGGACATGTCATGTGCAAATATAGTATAAATATTAAATAGTATAAAAAACTAAGTCCAATAATTACAATGCAGCCTAAATTTTGGTAAGAGCACAAGAGAGATACAAAGTGTTGTTTGAGGTCCATGGAAGGAAAGATCATTTATGACTGAGTGGATCAGGTGCAGATTTGAGCTGGATCTTGGAGGATGGGAAGAATAACAGCAAAGGACATTTATGTAGTATTGTAAAGTTTACAAAGCACTCTTCGTTCAGTATTTCGTTTGATCCTCATGCCATTCCTGTGAGGTAGGTACTACAGTTGTTATTATCTCCATTTTACAGATGAGGTTCAGGTAAGTTCAATGACTTGCCTGTTGTCACATAGCTTTTGATCTTCAGAGGCAAGGTTTATACCCAGGTCTCTCATGACTCCACAAGTCCAGCACTCTTTCCCCTATACCATATTGTCTTTGTAAAATTTCATCTGGTAGAGGTTCGGGAATGCCGGTGTAGTGTCTTCTCCCGCTTCCCAGCACCATCAACCTCCCTTTTAGGATCTTGGGATGGTATCTTTAAGATATTATCTAGTTTTAATTTACATGTGCAGATTTGGATGTCCTAGTTGGCAGAAAGAAGCATGAGGACACACTAAGGTGTCTTTACCTAACCTATAAAGGAGGGCTCATTTTCCACATAATTTTTTCCCTCTTCAGAGAATTGATCAACTCTGTTTTGGGATGATTGCACATTCGGACAGTGTGGTTTAAAAAGCCACATTTAAGTACATAGTCCAACTTCCTCTCCCAGCAAAAATCAACAGGCCTGATTCTTTATTCATCTTCTTTCCCCTATGCTGTCCTCTCAATGAATCTCAAAGTCATACAGCAGAAAAGAAAAAGGACAACAAAGGAAATGGAGAATCTGTAAATTGGTTTAGGAAAATTTGACTTGAATTATCTTTTTCTTAATGACCAAACTAGCCATTCCATATCATTAGAAATCTCTGTAGTGTTTTTGCCAAAGGCATTCAAGTCAGAAACTTGCTTTTAGGTTAAATGTAACAAATCTAAGGTAAGAGTACCTCTAAAGGTTTTTTAAAATTCAGATCATTAGCATCCTTTTGTAATGATTTATACAATTTGATTTTATATCAGTGAATGAAAAAGTATTTATTAAGCACTTATTATGTGTCAAGCACTGGGAATTATTGGCAGAATTAAGAAATATGAAGAATATATTCCCTAGGACACATGTCTAAGACTTCAAAATGCTAATTAGTTAATTAACATAGAAATCATGTTTGTTTGCTCAATTGGTCATGTATGCTATTGATGATTTTATAACTGTTTGAATTGTAAATCTTCAGTGCAGGAACCACAGTCATGGCTCCCATTGGTCGCCAGGGATTGGTCATCGAAACACCTCTGCACAGGAAAACAGACAACCAACAAAGGAAAAAGAAGCTTTGCCTCTTATAGAGGACTGTAGTAACTGTGACATTGTGAAAGCTACCCAGTGAGTCATCTGCAATCATTTGTCCTTGGGCTCAGTTTTATTGTTGTACAACTGTGTGTGCTGTGCTGTCCAATGCAATCCATAACACTGTTTTACAGTTTTCACCTTGATGAAGGATGATAACAGTAACATTCAAGAAAATGTAAAAGAAGGCTGCATTTAAAACAGCTGAGAACATTTAATATTTGGGCATTCGTTTATTTGGATACATAGCCAGCCTTTGTAAAGGTGATCCTAACCTTAATAAAGATGACTTTAACTATACTAACAAATACCTTTGCACATAGTAAGCATTCATAAATACTTGTTGATTGACGTAAAAAATTGAAATTACATTTAATATTCATTTATGGGACAAATCAACATATTGGAAATGACAGTACTTCCTAAGTTAACTTGTGGATTGAATGCACTGTCAATCAAAGTGCTAATGTATTTCTTTGTATGAATGAATTAAAATGCTAAAGGAAATTTATAAGGAAAAACAAATAGGTAAACTAATGAAGGTGGTCATAAAAATCCTTCTGGTACTGACCAAAAACTGAAAATGAGTGAAATGAATATAGATCCTCAACATAGAACCAAATAGATCTGGGAAAATTGGAGAATAGGCTCAACTATAGAGGCCTGTCACAGTATTCCAGCAACATTACCCAACTGGTCTTTGTCAACCCTGGAGGATTATAGATTAATTCAGTGCCAGGGATCTCAGATAATAGGCAGCAGGGCCTAGGAAGAAAGACTTAACAGCATTGGGCCTTCAGAAGGAAAGAACTGGCAGTAAGAATCAAAGAATCAGCAAAGTGATTTATAAAGACAGGTAAAGGTTGATTGAAGAAGAGAAAGAAATAAACGTTTAAGGAGGAGAACTTCCTCGGTGTACTTGGTTACAAAGAAAATTGTGTAAAAATTCCCTGAAAAAGGTTTTCCAACGAATTTGGAAAAGGCACTAAGATGATGATAGCATAACTACTGAGAACCTCTAGAGTGGTTGAAAAGAGCAATCAAAGACTTAAACAAAAATATCACAGAATCCTAGAACTTGAGAATTAGGAGAGATCTCAGCAGTCATCTTGTCCAACCCATATGAGAAAAGACTATTATTATATAACCAAAGTTGGTTTTCTGGCCTCTATTTGAAGACTTCCAAGGCGGAAGAACCCATCACCTTTTTAGGCAGCCCATTATACTTTTGGCCAGCTCTAATTATTGAAAAGTTTTTTCTTGACAGTGAGTCTGAATTTGCTTCTTAGCAGATCTGTGATTTCATCTCTGTGGATATTCTACCTATGGTTGTAAAATTACAAACCCTATGCAATCTGGCAGGTAGTCTTCGTGTATTGCTGTCGCCAAAAAATTGATTGCCTGATGGCCAGCCTTTTGGTGATTATCTTCCAGGGCTTGAATTCCACTAGCACAGTCTTTGATCACCGAATCACAGAACTGGAAGGCAACCCAAGGCCATCTAGTTCAACCAGCACCTGATCAAGGATGTCCTCCACTGCATTCCTGACAAGTGATCATCTAGCCCCTTCCCAAAGATCTCCCTCTCACCACCTATTCCCATTCCCAAGGCATCCCATTCCACCCAAGAAAACTCCTGGGTTGGTTGTTAGATAATTTCTCCCTCCCTCAAGCTCAAACTTGCAAGCTCCACCTGCTGCTCCTAAGTTTGCCCTCTATGATTTAGCAGTGCATATCTTATCCCTGTTCTACATGACAACCTCCTAAACACTCCAAAAGCAGTTTCTCTCATGTCCCTGGTAAGTCCTGTCTTCTCCATGCTCACATCCCCAGTGATGAGGCATCAGAGTAGAATTTTAATAGAAGACTTAAAGCTAACTAGTTATAAGAAAAAACAGAAGTATTTCTTTTTCAGCAAAATCTTAGTTATTTAAATGATGGAGAATTGAGTCCTGTTGTGTGTCATTATCCATTATCAGTATTTCACTCTTGTTATTACATAAAATCATAGACCATTTCTGGTTAGCCCTGACCTAGAGGGCTAACTAAGCAAGCATTATTTGTTCTGAATCAGGAAATGGAGTAAATCAGCATGAGCTTCAGTATTAGAACTCATCATCTTGTGCTCCTCAAACTTGGCATCTTACCTTGATTTGTAATTGCCACATCATTCACCTGCAAGATAGACTACTAAGAATATAAACCTTTTCAAAGGAGACATTTTAGTGTTTGAATGTTTTTAAATAATGCTCAGCGGCATAGATTTGAATATTTCCTTATTTTAGATATGGGATTTTTGAGCGATGCAAGGAGTTGATAGAAGCTGGATATGATGTCAGACAACCAGACAAAGAAAATGTGTCTCTTTTACACTGGGCTGCTATAAACAACAGACTGGATCTTGTAAAGTAAGACTGGACAACTGTTTTGTAAATGTCTCTGTTCCTTTGTTGATGATTATTTTCCTTTTCCATTTCTTGTTTTCCTTGTGTGAATTTTCTCTCTATTTTGAAGCATAAGTTTGAATGATGACCCATTTTTAACACTTCTCTGTGAATGACTTTGGTTCTCAGAAATTCTATTTCTTTATCGTCATTTCCCTGAGAATGTGAATTTCAATAGGCTGTTAATCAAATCGGTGTGAACATAAAGACAAAATTTGAGTATCAAAAATGTGAAGTCTTTAAAGAAGGGGAAAAATGCCTTTCATGGCAAATTGAAAATTTGAATCTAGCTTAGTTGTAATCTTAAAATATTTTACATTTGTGAGGTATGTATGATCAGAAGATTGTTGGGAGAATTTTGAACTGCCCTTTAAATAAAATTTTAAAATATTATCACACTGCTGCTTACCCATGATCCTTTTCATTTCTTTAATGTATATATTTTACTATTTTGTCATTTACTAACGTAAGTTTCGGATAAATTCTCATTGAGGCCATAATCTTTTTTAAAAAGTTAAGTAACTATTTAAAGAAATTTGTTATTTCCATCACATACACATCCCACTCTTGAATAAGTGTCTGGAAATGACTGTGTGCTTTTTTTGATGATCTTTTAACAATTCAGGAGTCTTTTCTCATTCCTCATCCTTCTTGAAACTCTATAGCATGTGATGCTGTAAACCACTTTCTCCTTCCTGAGTTCTCCTGGTGCCATTGTCTCCTGGTTTTCTTCTTACATGCCTGGCTTCTTCTTTTCAGTTGTTTTTGCTGGATCATCATCCATGTCCCACTTATTGTGTATGGTGTACCCAAGGACCCACTCCTGAGTCCTCTCTTCCTCTCCCCTTTTCTCCTCACATCATCAGTGACCTGTTGGACATCTCTGAATAGATGTCACTTAAGCATCCTAAACTCAACACTTCCGCAACAGGATTCATTATCTTTGCCCCCCAAACATCTCTTCTTCCTACCATTCCTTTTTCGTTGAGGGCACCACCATCTTCCCAAAAAGAGTCCTTGTTGATGCCTTACCTACCCTCACCTTTTATATACAATTAGTTGGCAAGTCTTTTCAGTTCTATCAATGTTAATACCTTTTATAAGCTTCCTCTGTACACTCATACCACATCTACCCGACTTCAGTTCTTAATCGCTTCTCGTTAAGTTACTGCAATAGTAGGTTAATTACTCTTCACATTTCCAGTCTTTCCCCTTTCCAAACCATTCTCCTCAAGGTTTGTATTCTAAAGCACAGTTCTGACCGTCACTCCCATGCTCAAGAAAGTCCCGTTTGTCCTAGGGACTTGTTCTTGGCCCCAATGGAAAAGACAATGACATTTCAAGCTCTTCACAGTCTGATTCCAGACAGATTCTGGGTTTGTTCTACAGTGTTCTCCTTCACTCACTTTCGTCGCCACCAAACTCACAAGCTTCCTGTTCTGTCCACCACGTTCCATCCTTCTGCTACCTATATGCATCTACACAAACCCAAGTCTGGAACGCACCTCCTCCTCACTTCTCCTTCATGGAACTCCTTGCTTCTTCCTTCAGAGCTCCGCATGTGGACCAAGAGGCCCATCCTCATCTATTTGCTACTGCCTCACTCCCACCCCCAGTTACTTTTTATCTACTTTATATAGAGTTTGTAATTACTTCTCTGCATGCATTTTGTCTTCTCTCAATAGAATGTAAACTCCTGAGGGTAGGGTTTTGTTTTGTTTTGTTTTGTTTTTCATTTTTGTTTCTACCCCTAATACCTTCCAAAATGCCTGGTGCATAATAGTTGCTTAATAAATCCTTGTTGCATATTACCATAAATGTGAGGTATAATAACAAAGTAATGTGACATGTTTTCTTGTGTCCCATTAAAAAAAATCAGTCTTCTTCCTTTAATAAACTGTCATATAAAACATCAAATCTATTTCAGAAAGATTTATTCTATCTAATTTTAAGAAAAAAGTTTTCAGAACTTGGCCTCAAATAAGATGAGAGTGTTCTATTTGAACTTTTCTGAAAGACTTTCCGGCTTTGTCCTCCTTTGAAAGTAGCATGAATGAGAAATCGAATTCACTATTAAAACTGGTATGATCTCTTTTTTGTTCTCTCACCGTGTTAAGATTGCATTGTATGTGACATTAATGCACGTAATGAACTGTTTTAGACATGAAGCTTTCGAAGGCGGATGTGACTAGAGAGAAAGTGCAGAGAACAAAGATCAAATGTATAGGAGGAAAGTTATAACTGAAGATGAATTGTAACTGAGGTTACTAGTCACCAGCCAAGAATATTTGACTAGGAATAGGCACCAGACTCTAAGAAAAATCTTTTTCGAAGTTCCATAGAGCTGCAAATGTGTTTCTTTTAGCAAATAGTATCTTCGTTAGCATTTATTACAAATCTGACTAGAGTGATGAATTATGAATTTTGGATTTTAATAGATTTGGGTGTTTTCCTGCACAGGTTTTATATTTCAAAAGGTGCTGTTGTGGATCAGTTGGGTGGGGATTTAAATTCAACCCCTCTTCACTGGGCCATCAGGTAAGTTTTCTAATGATGAACTCACATTTATATTGTTTTTTTAAGGTTTGAAAGCTCTTTGCTCACAACAAATCTGTGAGTTAAGAACTGCAAATATTATCTCTGTCTTATAGTTGAGGACACTTGGGCTCAGATAGGTGAAGCCCTTGCCCGAGGTCACCCAGTGAGTTGGTATTATTGAGATCTGAACCTAGGTTCCTTGAAATCATGCTGCCTCAATAACAGAGCTGTTCAGATTACTTAGCCCTGTCTAAGCATTACAAGTAGTTTTAATGATTTTTTTTAATGTTATCCTTAAGTTCTTCTAGAGAATTGGTTGCTCTGTTATAATGTAATTGTTCAGTTATGATTATAAGACTCAGATGTATGTCATTTAACATTGTTTCCATAATTAGGATAAATGTTTTGAATAATATATCTTCAGGGACAGCATGACATAGTGCACAGAGCGCCAGCAGGACTTGGGTTCAGTTCTTGCCTCTGATATATAATATGTCACCCTGGGTAAATCATTAAACATCTTAGTGCCCTAAGCAGTTTTCTTAGAGCTTAAGTTGGAGATAAGGCACTGACTTGCATTGGGGAAGGGAGTTTTCTCATCAAAGAGTTCCCTATACCAATGAGATCCTTGGTCTATTTGCTGTCCCTGTAATTAATCACATAGATGAACTGCTATTTCTGTAAATGGGGGATCTCAGTCAGAGTAGTCATAGGATGTATGTCCACTTGAAAACTTTAATCAGTGGATTCAAAAACACAGCTTGATCCACAAATGAGAGGCATATGAGGCACATCCTGATAGTATTAGTAGTAGACTGAATTTGTCCCAAATGGTTCGGCTATGTTGACATTTGTCAAAGAACAGACAGGCCAATAAAAAATACCAGGCAGTTAAAAGTAGACATCACCGGTGCCCCCCCAGTGTTATTCTATAATTTAAAAGTCACTCTTCTGCCCTTCTTAGTTTCCTTTTACCACCTCATTGCCCATGAAAGATAACCTTTAAATGCAAATTCATTTGAAGCCAAAGTAGTGTAAGAAGAATGTATTTTTTTCCCTATGTCAAAGAACTTGAAAACATAGGGTTAGCTATATGTAGCAATCTGCATATATTTGCACGGAATGGCTAGCATTGGAAAACCCCAGCTCCATGTCTTTGTGCAGTGCTATTAGGCCATCTGGTTCATCAACTGTGAGGGCCACAGTTCAGCAGTGTTACTTTTCAACTGTGTTATGTTAACAGATCTTCTCCTGAAGTCCTGCTGTTTGCCTCATTGTGGCATGGTAATGATCCCAGGTTCACCAAGGCCATGTGGGCGGAGCATAAATTCCGACAGGTCTCTTTCCACGTTTAAAAGGCTTTGAGTGTGAATGTGAGAAGGAGAGACTTGTAGGTCTGCCACTCATGAATTTGTTGTTGTCATTTCAGACTCTTTGTCTCCCCATTTGGAATTTTCTTGGTAGAGATACTGAAGTGGTTTGCCCCTTCTCCAGCTCATTTTACAGATGAGGAAACAGAGGCAGATGGTGTTTAAGTGACTTGCCTAGGGTCACATAGCTAAGTGTCTGAGGCTAGGTTTGAATTCAGAAAGATGAGTCTTCCTGATTTCAGGCCCAGCACTCAGAGGATACTCTGAGCCATTCCCTGCTCATGAATTAGTCAGGACTAAGTTCAGAGATCTCATCACTGGATTGGTTACAAGGGAATGAATTTTTTGTCAATGACAACTCTTGAAAAAAATCTCCTGAGTCAGAGAGGAGTTGGAATTTACATCATTTGAGGGTGTATTGACCTAGACCATTGCAATTACTGGCCATTGAAATACATCAACAATTACAGTTATCTTCTTTTTAAGCATCTTTCCATTTCTTACAACATAGGCTCGCTTTAATCTAATGAAGCTCCAACCTTGAAATACAAAGAAGTTGGCAGGGAGACTGAGCCAGAAAACAGTTGGAGTTGTTAGTAACTTTTTTTGTGGGTTCCCGGTTAAATACTTAGAAAGATAACCTAAGCTGATATAATATAGGTACATATTCTTGAAAAATACTATGCCTTACAATGTTACTGTCTGTTAAATTTAAACATCTATCTAGCCAGTGCTTAAATAACATTTTTCATTTTGTAAATAGGAGTCATAAATGTGTAAGAAGTAATTTCAAAGTTATAGCTGTTGGCATAAATTATTTTCCTGTAGAATCAGGCTCCATGCTCCCCCAGGAGCTAGAGGCCAGCATGTTAACTGTATTAAATCATAGAATCACAGATTCTCAGAGTTAGAAGGAAACTCACATCATTTAGTATAACCCATGTCCAAAATGGAATCCCTTCCCCCTCATCCTCCATGTAAAGATATTCACTGATGGGAGAACTCACTGTCTTCTAAGGTATAATCCTTACACCTTTGGAACTTGGACAGCTCCAAAATTTTTTCTGCATATCAAACCAAATTCATTCTGAAGCTTCTACCTGTTGGTCCTGCTTCTGCCCTCAGGGGCCAGAAAGGACAAGTTTAATTAAACTTTCACATGACAGCCATTTAAATACTTAAAGACAGTTCTTATGTTGCCTCCTCAGTCCTCTCATCTTCAGCTTAAATACGCTTATTTCTTTCACCTTATCTTCATAGGGCATGATTTCCAGTTCTCTTGCAGTCCTGATGGTGTTTAACTTATTTATGCTTTTCTCAAAATGTTGTGTCCACAACTGAACACAGTACTATGGAAGGAACAGGACTGTAGTTACCCATAAGCCCCAGACTTCTAATAATGTAGCATAATATCACATTAGCCTTTTTGACTGCCATGCTACCATCTTGACTCTATTGACCTTGCTGACCATTTAAACTCCCAAGTGTTCTTTACACGAACTGTTCTCTAGCCTTGCATTCTTTATCCTGAACTTACAGTTGATATTTTAGAAACCACATGTAATTTGGTGTGTTGGATATAGCATTGGTATTGGAGTCAGGAAGACCTGAATTCAGATTCTGCCTCAGATACTTAACTGTATGAATCTGGGCAAGTCATATAAGCTGTCTTGTCCTCAGTTTCTTCATCCATAAAATGAGGAAAATAATAGCAATACCTCATAGGGTCGTTTTGAGGTTCAAATGGGTTGTTGTATGTAAAATGCTTTGTTTTGTAAACCTTAAAGCACTATATAAATGTTAACTATTATAATTTCATTTATTACATCTAGTTAAAATTTTTTTTGGATCCCACTTCTAACATCCAATGTGTTAGCTTTTCTTTCTAGTTCCATATGATTCATGGATTTGCTCTACATACCATATTTGTCTTAGTTAATAATTAAAATATTGGACAGCAGAAGACCAAAAACAAATCCCTGGAGTATTCTGCTGGAGACCTCCTTCATGTTTCATAGGATCATAGATCTAGAAGGAACCCAAGATATCATCTAGTCCATTCATTTCATTTTACACATGAGGAAACTGAGCCTCACAAGGGTTAAATGACTTCTCTAAGGTCACACAGGTAGCAAATAGCAGTACTAGGGTCTGAAGCCAGGTCATCTGACTCCAAATTCGGTGTTCTTTGAACACTGATCACTTCCCAAACCGAATCAGCTTCAAGCCCACATATCCTTCATCTGTCTGTCCTGTCCACAAGGATAACATGAGAGATGTTGTCAGATGCCATGACCAAGAACACATATTGACAGTCTATGTATATTCATAAGGAATGGTTGGTATAGGTAAATCCTGTCTCCATATTTTTTTTTTGGCTAGGCAATGGGGTTAAGTGACTTGCCCAGGGTCACACAGCTAGTAAGTGTTATGTGTCTGAGGCCGAATTTGAACTCAGGTCCTCCTGAGTCCAGGGCCAGTGCTCTATCCACTGCACCACCTAGGTGCCCCTCCATATTTTTTTGTAGTACTGTTAGATCACCAGTTCATCACTGCCTATAAATCATCCCACACATAGGACATTCACTGCTAACTTTAAGGTGTCCACAGGGATGAAAACAACTTTTCATGTGTATCTAATCTACATTTATCTGTTTGTAGATTAAATCCATCATGACTCAGATAAAGGTGATTCAAGTTAATATCTGCTTTTATCCTCCTCACCATAAAATTCAACAGTATTTTTTTTTCTGTCTTCCTTTACAGACAAGGACATTTACCTATGGTAATATTATTACTACAGTGTGGTGCAGATCCCACGCTCGTTGATGGAGAAGGATTTAGTGGTATCCATCTGGCAGTATTATTTCAGCATATGCCCGTCATAGCATATCTCATCTCAAAGGGTCAGGTATGTTTTTGAAATGTTCCTTATGTTTCATCTGTTATAAATTGGAAAGATTCTAATTATTAATCCATTTTTTAAATAAGATTTAAGGTTCTATCACAAAAGGTCTAGTCTCATGCCTCACTTAGATCTTGAGGTGACCCAGACTTCTCAAAGCCATGAGAACAATTCAAAACTCTGGCAAGTTATACTAAGCTGTAAAGGCTTTGAAAGTGATCCCAGTGACAGACTATGTGTGTTCCTTGAGGACCAGTTTAGCCAAATGTGGAAAGGCTGATTACTAAAAGATCAGTTATTAGGTGATGAACTGTATGGGCATGGTGATACATAAAACATAAAAATTCCAAATGTCCCTCATTCTGATTCCATAAAATGGAGGAAAATAGGTACTAAGCATCACATGGTTTTTATACAGGATCTTTGTTTAATGGATAATATATTGGTAGAATAGTAAAGAGATAAAACATATCTGCTTTAATATTCTTGCTATAAATGTAATTTGTAGATATAAAGTAGTTATGGCAGATGAAAGGACAGTCCACAGTTTCTCATCAGAGAAGTAAGTAATAGGGTTGTCAGAATTAGTTTTCATCATATCCCTAGAGACAATAGGAACCATTTTATGAGCTCTTTGCTCATGCTTCCAAGGGGTATAAACAGCTGGACCACCATGAAAATACTTATACCTTATGGGCCCATACCTGTTTGCAGAAGATAAAGTAGAAAACTTTTATGAAGAATTTGATGAAATTCTCCAAATGAGTCCGATATATACGATGATTTTTGATGACATTAGAGTGAAGGTGGGCATAGGAGAGAAAAGATGAAAAGCCTATGGTAAAAATGAAAAAGTCAAAAGGCTTGTTTGTATGTTACTTAGAAGTTTCTTGCCTGTTTAATATAAAGACTTTCTTCAAGATGATTGTTGGAAGCTGCTGGTTATAGTGAGCACTGAACAATATCACAACAATTGAAAAAGGTTTTATCTTAATGGACAGGAAGTAACTTGTTACCATTATGAGAGAATGGCTTATTTGTGAGCAGTCAGGTCATTGACAAAGAACAAAAGTCAAAATCAAGACAGAAATTAAAAATAAAGGATGAAAATGAGAAAGTAGTAATGCTTGCAATTATAACAGCACTAATCTGAACTTTGAAACAAGTTTTTGACTATGAAAAATGAGAGGACAAAAGGAGATATAGAAGCCTATGAGATTCCTTAGATGAGTTTAAGTGGTATAAAAGGGTTGCCACCACAAGAAGACCAACGACCCTGGTAATCACCTTTTTAAAAAAAATGTGAACACTTTGCCAAGGAAAATATGTAGTAGCCAAGATCAACACTAGGTTAGCATAAAAGCTCATTTGCTACAATGGAGGAAGATGATAAGATGAGGAACAGTATCAGCCCACAAAGTAAAGAAAAACATTTGAGAGGATAGCCCACCAGGAAGCTTGATGTGAGACTGCGAAACCAGACTATCCTGAAATTTCTGATTGATGAAACCAGAAGGATGATGATAAACAGACACGATGTGAAGCAGATCATTGAAGACAGTAGGAGCACCACATCTGGACTCTACCACTTCAGTAGCCAATTGAAAAAGTGGTAATGACACATGATAAAGTTGGAAAAATGGATGACCTTGACTTTCACATAGAGAAGAAATCTGTGCTGGGTATGGCACAAGTTTTAAAGACATTTGGAATTTGATTTTTAAAATATCTCAAAATTGATAATATTACAAAAGCAAGGAACACGGTATGGATGATACTATTACTTTGTTTCATTGGTTTCTCTATGGATGGTGAAGTCCTCCGGATGGAATTTTCATGTTTGCAGTTGGAATTATGCTGTTTTCATCAAGAACATCGCAGAACCTCAGGAGGAGATTTGTAATGAACAGTGTCTATTGCCCTGGCTTGAATATGCATTATTTGAATAGACATCATATAGAACTTTTCCATCAATATATTTGTCTAGGACAGGCAATCTTAATTGACAACAAGTTTGGCCCAGAGTTGAATAGGAGCAAGAGAGTGTATTAGATTGCTTTTGGTAAACTGCAAAGCTCCTTTACTGACCCCAAGCTTCATATGAAAGCAAACATCCATATTTTTAATACTAAGATTCTCCCACTGTTGCATTATGATGGTAAGACATGGAATATGACTACCTCTGAAGAATTAAAAATAAATATCACATAAAGGGCAATGGAAAGATGCATGGTAGGTGTACAAAAGTGAAAACATATAACTAATGAAGAACTCCGAAGAAGGAGTAGAAGATGTCATCAAGGAATTGTATAATAAAAAGAGAAGATGGGCTGGTCATGTGGCAAGAACAAAAGATGACAGGTGAACAGCCAGAGTACTCCATTGGTACCCTTACAATGTCAAGAGAAAGTAAAGAGGGTCTCTAGCACGTGGGGTGATACCCATGAGGTAAACTGATGGGATGACTTGGACGAGAGTCACATAGGATGTGGTAGGCATGGGTGGGTTCCAATCTGTATCATGGAAAAGATATCAAGAATTGATGAGGAAACAGATCCATTGAATATTATTATTAAAAATAAGTGACCGATAAAACATCTGCAACTTTGTACTTATAGACCTACTTTCTCATCTTTATAAAATCCTCAGTTTATGCATCAAGTTTATACTTGATGAAAACACTAAAAGGCAACAGGCGGGCTTTTACAGACAATTTTCTACAGCAGCCTCCATCTTTACAATCACACTACTGCCTGGGAGGTGTAAAAGATATGAGATCCTGCTATAGCATTTGACTTAGTAGAACACAATGCAACCTGAAAGGCTTTCCTTAAACAAGATGTTTAAACACGTATGTTAAAATCATACATATCTCGGGCAGCTAGGTGGCTCAGTGGATAGAGAACTGGCCTGAAGTCAGGAGGATCTGAGTTCAAATCTGGCCTCAGACCAAACACTTGACACTTACTAGCTGTGTGATCCTGGGCAAGTCACTTAACCCTAATTGCGTAAAAAAAGAAAAAAATCATATATGTCTCTATAAAAAATACAATCTCAGTGATCACTTTGTTCTATATCTGCTGGATATCATCATCAAACAAGGCATAAAACAGGGATTTCGTATACACCAAGATAGTCTAAATAGAACAAAAATTTTCTTTCAAAGGTGATGTTTTCTGAGTGTTCCTGTTTGCAGAACAAGTATTCTGACTGCATCAAGCTGTCCAAGGCCATCTTAACGAACTCTACTATTGCTCTAAAGATGCGGGCCTGGTCATTCATACTGGAAAACTAAAGGGTATGAAAAATACATAATGAACAGGTTATCACAAGCAGTTTAAGGGCAACCCATTTAGTTAGTTCATTACCATCATCATAGTTATTAGATAGATTGATATAAAATCTTAGACTAATGTTGCTAATGATCAGTGAGCTCTTTCCACAGTTAAATAGGAGGTCAGGCTAAATAATGTTTGAGAAATTTGACAGCCTTCCCAAAACTGCTTCCTCCTACAAAAGCCTAACTTTTTTTATGACACCAATATTTTCTCATTGATACCCTATGGCTGTGAATCATAGAGCACCAAACTCAGAAGCAACATAATTTTGGGTGATCCACAGGGCAATGGACAAGATGCATGATGCATGTAAGAAGCCTGTCTTATATTACCAGTGATTACTTATATGTGAGAATTAGTATACAAAAGGTCATCAAGAACATATATAAATAAAGAAGGTGTGGGATTGTGGATCCATTGTGTAAGGAATAAGGGATAACCAATGGACAGCCTGTGTGCCTCAGTAGTATCTATGAAATGTTTAAACATACAGACATACACACACACACACACACACACACACACACACACACACACACGTACTCCAGTATGTCGGGCGGCTACCTCAGAGAGGATTTATCAGGAATCACGAACAAGAAGCTCTCAAGTTTTCATTGAACCTTAAAATATCTGCACTTAGCATAGGTATTGAGCATCATATATCTATCTACTCTATTCATACAGAAAATAAATTCCATTTGGCTCTGCAGCACTTAACTAGATGTTAAGTCTATGATAGTTTTCCATGTGAACCCAACAATTTTCATTGTATCTTTAAAACATATCTTCAAAGCCTGAGTTCTTCTTTCACTGACATGTAAAAAATGTTAGTACAGCCCATGAATTAACCCATCACCTGTGTAGCAAATAAAAGACCAATTTGAATTCACATTTCTTACATGTATTCAAAAATAATTCTGTAAAAAAGACTTGCCCAATGAGGCATCCATTTGTAGCTCAATATGATAGTTTAAATTATAGGATACTGGAAGTGGGGGGGTTTCCCTGTCAACTGTATCTGCCCAAGATATGCTTTCTGGTGGGAAAACAGTTTACATACCAGTAGACTTAGATTGAAAACATGTTTGCACAATTGCTATCAAAATGATTGCAGTTGGTTTAAACAAACACTTTCTATCAGTCTGAGCTAATTGAAGAAGAATAATTATAACCTCTTGAGTCATAAATTAGAAAGGAGTAGGAGTAATAAATTCTTCCATATCCTTCCCTTTTGTTGTCTTCATATAAGGTGTCTCAGAAGTCTTAGTGTAGTTTTAAACTATTGAAACTCAATGTTTTGGGGGCACTGTATATCACAGTACTTTAAAAGCACACGTAGCCTTTATTCACTCAAGTCAGTATTTGCTGACTCTGTCATACATGATTGTATACAGCATATTTCAGAATCACAGAACCTCAGATTTGGAAGGAGCCCTCAGAGGCCATCATGCATCTTTGAAGTATTGAAGTTTATTTGAAAAATGCCCTTCCTGAAAAGGCATTTCCTCTTTTGTACCCTCCATAAGTGGGCCTTCAGCCTCTGCATGAAGACCCCATGAGAGGGAGAGCCCAGTACATCTTATGGACCTTTTAATAGATTCTGGCACATTACTGATGAAACTACCATTTGTAAAACTGTAGTCCAGAATGGAAAGAGCGTTTTGATGGTTGCCTTTTCTAGGTCTTATTTATTATAAACATTGCTTGCTGATTGCAAAGAATGATGCCATTTTCCTTTTTTCCAGCTTTCTTCCTATCTCATTTTCACAAGATTGAGTCATACTTGATTTCTTCTTAAAATATTAGTATAAAAGCCATTTACAGCCTATGAAATATGAAGCATAAGATTAATTGAAATGCCTGTTTGAACTGTCTTCACAATCATGTTGCTGGATAGTGTGATACAAAGTATTTATATTGACAAAAGAAAGGGAATTCTAACTACATATTTGCATGTCATGTTTGAAAAGTTTCTCCACTAAAATCCTCCTCTGATGCCTCATGATGACATAAAAGGGACCCTGGGTTCTTGAAAACTAGAACAACAGAGTACAAGCTCTGCCAGTTTATCAAGCCATAAAGGCTTTGTGTTTTGCTGCAGTGCTGGACTGGCTGATTGTTGTCCAAGGATGTGCCAGGAATCCCTGGGATGACTGTCTAACCTTACAGAGGGGAATGAAGGAATAAATGAATGAATGAAAAAGTGTTTATTATGTGCCAACCACTATGCTAGGTGCTGAAGATACAAAAGCAAGGACATCCTTGTCTTCAAGGAGCATAACTCCTAATAGAGTAAGATAACCCATATAAAGGAGTGCTAGCCAGGGAGGGATAGTTTGATTTGAAAAATTACAGGGCACGTGATTAGAATCGTAGGGGAACGAAGCAAAGTGCAGTTGTAACCCAGCCTAGATGTAGTAGGTGATCGAGGCCACCAGCAGTCAGGACACTGGAGCCTTAAGATGGGAATTCCAGGCATTAAAAGGTTAAGTCCTCCAGGACTTGGTTTCTGGTACAGGCAGCATGAAGTCTACTGAAGAGATGGCCTGGGTATGAAGTTGGCCACTGGGTGATGTCTCAACAATTTACAGAATTGGTTTGCTAAGGCTTAAAGGAGCTAGGCTCTGTATTGAGGGGACCCATGCAACCTTGAAATATTGAGGTATATTTGAAAAGTGATATTGAACAGCTTCTCTCTTCTTTTTGAAATAGAATATAGACACAACAGACTTAAATGGGCAAACACCACTCATGCTGTCAGCTCACAAAGTACTTGGGTAAGTAATGAGCTTTATTGAGTGATGCTTAGTCTAATTCTCGATTCTTTTGCATACATGTATTTCATTAGGTCTGTGTAACTGAAATTTGAAGATGACCTCCTAATAAAAGGATGACAGTAGAAGTATGACTAGACCTTCTGATGTAGTTGCATTTTGGAACACCACTGAAATGTTTTCTGAAAACATTAACTTACTATGATGAAAAATCTAATTTTATGATTAAAACATTCAAATAGGTTATATATTCAGTGGTGCAGGCTCATTAACTTGACTTGTGTTTCTTAGTTTAGGGATGTGGGAGTGTTTTGTTTGTGTTTTTAATGGCTGCAGCCTGAAATCTAAATGATAAAATACAGCTCTGCAAAGGAAAGGTATAAACCCCATAAATATTTTCTTTGAAGCCTCTCTGGATGTATTGTGGATACTGCATGAATATTAAGTACAATTGATTTGGGAAAAATCCCTTTTTACATATAATTCCATGAGGCATTTAAAACCTAAACTCTTCTATATTTGTCATCACAAATATGTAGGATTAATAACCATGTGATTGATAGTGTTTTCTCTGTTCAAAAGCTCCATTTCTTATTGTTAGTGTTAGTGTTTTCCAACAGTCTCTCCTTCCATGGATCAACTGTCAGCTGTGACTGATATTCTGGAAACCAAATGAGGGACAAGAGAAGCCCAATTTCTCTTGTAATGCTACTCATTTTATTCTTTAAAATGTTATTGATGCCTTTTATTTGAATTCTCCCTTGTATCAAAGAAAATCACTTAAGCAAAACTAGAGACATTGGTCTGACAACCATGTTCCATACACATAGTGCCTCACCTGGCTTCCAAGAAAGGAGTTTCATCATCTGTTCTCCAAGGCCAAGATTTGGTCACCATGTTAATGACATCCACTTTACTTTACTTTTTACATTTTTACTAATGTTTTTACATCACCTTTCATTTCCCAAAATATTCTTCCCCTCCTCTGAGAGAGACATTTCTTATGAAAAAGGATATAAATGAAAAATAGCCCATATGTTAGCCAAGTACAGCGTTGTTATGTAGTGCTCCCCAACCACGGTCTCCAAGCTTTATAAATAAAGAGGGAAGTAATGCCATCCATTTTAAATACCAGACATTTGTTGTTTTTGTCTTCTCTTTCTTTGTTTTATCAGTTTCCATGAAGCATAGTATCAATGCCATTATTTCCCTAAGAACTAAAAAAAGACTTTGCTATTTCGGTATTAGCCTCTCTGGGATATCCATAGTAGAAAGGAAGAAATTGATGATAATTGTGTAAAAATACTTGTTTTTCGAATCTATAAAATGAGGATGTTGAATTAGATGATTTATAAAGTTTTCTCTGGTTTTGTGTTTATTCCATTCAATTCTGGCCCATCACTTAAGAGCTTCATATGAAAAGCTTCTCTTCATTTGTCTGTTCTATTGCAAGTAGGTTAAATGTGAGCTATTATCATCAGCTTTAAGGGAAGCCATAGGAATTTCACTTTCATTACCATAAAAATAATTGTTTTTGACATTTAGGGCAGGCTTTAAATTCTGGAAAAGCGACAGGGATATGATATTTGCCCTTCAGAGATATTTTAGCGTTTAAACTCTGTCAAGTGACTTTCTACAAAGATGAAATTTGGAATCACATCTTATACAGCTCTACTTTCCCACAATCTCTAGAAAAATTCCTTGCCCATAATAAGTATTTAATAAATATTTCTTGATTTGAGTTTTGCAAATTTCATTAGGCAAATTCATGAATTTTCACCAATGCACAACTCATCCATTTTATTCTTTCTTGTATTGTTTGCTCTTATTTGGTATATCTTTTCACCCCTTTATCTCCTATTTTTTCTCATTTCCCCAGTTAAACAGTAAACTCCTGGATGGCAGAGACTGTGTCCCATTCGTGCATTAATTAATTAATTAGTGTATTCAACAATTACTATATTTTATTTTAAAATAAAATAAGTTGTGTTTCTAAGTAACTATAAGTATTAATATGTGAAGAAGCAATGTGGCGTAAAACATACAGGAAGCAGCTAGGTAGTGCTATAGTGCAGAGAGTGCTGGGCCTGGAGAGGAGTCAGGAAGACCTGAATTCAAGTACAACTTCAGACATTTACCATGAAAGAAACCACTCTCTGCCTCATTTCTTATTAAGCCTTAATCACTGAATGGGTGTTGCCTCAGTCAAACTGAGACCTGTTAAAGACCTCAGCTTAAAAAGGCCAAGGTCTACCACTGCATCCGGGGCCATCTCCAGTCGTCCTGATCAATCTGGCCACTGGACCCAGATGGCTCCGGAGGAGAAAGCGAGGCTGGTGACTTTGCACAGCCCTCCCTCACTTAATTTCAATTCGCATGCATGTCATGGCATCACCTCCCTGATGTCATGGTCCTCTTCAAGAACAAAGGACGAGCAGCAACAACAACAACAACAACAGACACTAGTCATGTGACACCAGACAACTCACTTAACTGCTGTCTGCCTCAGTTTCCTCAGCTGTAAAATGGGGATAATAATAGTGTCTACCTCCCAGATTGTTGTAAGGATCAAATGAGATGATGATAGTAAAGGGCTAAGCACAGTATCCAGGCACATGGTAGGTACTATCTAAATGCTAGCTATGGTGATGATGATGATGATTGGGTTTAGAGATAGAAAGACCTAGGTTCAGATCTCACCTCTGACGCTATGACTCTGAACAAGTCACTTAGCATCTCTGTGCCCCGGCAGCTCCCTAGGACTTTCTCTATGAATAGATCGAGGTTGGTAGAGAGAGTTCCCTCTACAGATGAAATCCCATCTCCTCTGTATATGTGTGTATTTATAAACAGATACCATTGGAGTGTGTAATATTCCATACCACCTAGAACAGGATGTTGTAGGTGCCTGATAAATACTTCCCTGTGCATTAGTGGGAAAGATGTAAGTAATTCCCCAGTATAAGTTGTCTTCTGCTAAATATATTGTAGTACTTATCTTTTTTTTTTTTATATGCAGACCAGAACCCACTGGATTTCTTTTAAAGTTTAATCCTTCTATCAATGTGGTAGATAAAGTTCACCAAAACACTCCACTCCACTGGGCAATTGCAGCAGGAAATGTTAATGCTGTTGACAAACTTTTACAAGCTGGTTCAAGTCTGGATATCAGAAACATCAAGGTGTGAATAAGTATTTGTCTCCCATTAATTGTATCTTTGGCTAGAAAAGCAATAAATCAGTAGGGATGTATAATGAGACAGACTTTTGTCTCCATTTATCACAGAATAAATGAGAATAATGGACAAACGTTACATGGTTCCTCTTTTGGGAAAAAAAAGAGTTTATGATTATGATGATTCAGAGAAATGCACAGTATGCATGATGTTTAAAAATATAACTAATTTTCCTGTTCTCTTTTTTTCAGGGAGAAACACCACTTGATTTGGCTCAGAAAAACAGACATCGGCTGATTATCCACATGCTAACAGTAGAAGCTAAACTAAGAGCAAACAAAAACTTAAGACTTTGCAGGTGGCTACAGAAATGCGAGGTATTTCAGAGCCCATTTGTTGAACATAGTAATTGAAGTTGAAGGTCATAGGGAAAATATCCAAGGAGAAATAGTGTTGAGTCATATTTTTCTTGGTAATTATTAGGCGCTTATAGTTTTCCTCAGGAAAATTACTGAGGCCTAGCAATTAACATAAAAAACTCGAAGATTACCTGCCAGTCAACTTCTGTTTTTTTTGTGTTCTTAGAAATTTTTAAATGAACTTTTAAGAGCCCTGAAAAAGCCAAGATTTGGCTCATTGATTTAAGAGACACAGTTTCCCATTATCCTGAATGGTTGACAAAGTCTAAATCAGAGCAGTCAAATTCAAATTGTGCTTTCTGATGAGAAAAGGTAAAGCAGTATATCCAACTGCCTCTTTTAAGCTCATATTTCCAAATGAGAGATTTCATCTTCCAGAGTAGCCATCTAGTGTACAGGTAGTAATAGTAATTGGCACTTTATATTTTCTAAGTGGTTCTTAATCAGCAGATGTGGCATTCTTCTGCATTAGGCTATTAAGAATATTATGGTTGTGATACATTTAGGTAAATTGAGACAAAGGGAGAAGTGATATGGCTCATCTTAAACCTTTGCTCTGTGAATGGTAGATTTAGAATTAGAGTTTAGAAACCTAGATTTCACCATTATTCTCATGTTCAGACTACACTGATTGTGAACTTTAGAGTACCTGAAAAGAACTTTTCTTTTCAACCAGAGCTCACTTGATTTGTATCGTAACATGTATTACAGTTGAAAGAAAAGAATCAGGTGAAGTGAGTGGAGCTGGTCTCCAAGTCAGAAGGGCCAGGGTTTATGTCTCTGATGTGTACCAGCTGTGGGACCTGTCAAGTGGTGCCCAAGGAGCTCTCTAGGACTCTTAAAGCACAGAGCAGGTGTAGATCTACTTTAGAAGAGGGCATTTCCTCTTCAAGTGTTCTTCATACCAATGAAATCACAAGTTTGGGCCAAACAAAAAATTTAGACTTGGAAAGTACTTTATTTGGTTTTTGTCTTTTTTTTTTTTGGCTAGGCAATGGTGTTAAGTGACTTGCCCAGGGTCACACAAGCTAGTAAGTGTTAGGTGTCTGAGGCCAGATTTGAACTCAGGTCCCCCTGACTCCAGGGCTGATGCTCTATCCACTGTGCCACCTAGCTGCCCCGGAAAGTACTTTAAACAGAGCTTCAATGTAACTGAGATTCCTCAACCCCCAGGGCCTGACTAGACTGTTGGCCAAGGTGGATCAAAGTGGGTTTCTCCTTTTTGGGGTTATAGAGGTTCCATCTGCCTTATAAATACAAGGTGAATTCTCAAAAGAGATGTGATGCCCAGATTTGGCTCAGCCCTGCTCCAGACACAGCCACAGAATCTACAGAAGAGACATCTCTGGCCCGGACTGAACTCAGTGGGCCTGGTGCCCAAGAAACATCTGAGCAGGAACCTAGGATGATCAGGCCATAGGGGTGATCAATTAAATTTTTATTGGAACATTTTCTTAAGCTGAGCTTAATTTCTTGGAGAATCTGAACTAGAGTGATTTTCTTATCTAACTTTATGATTTGGGAAATGTACTTATCTCTATTTATAATTATGTGTGATTATATCTTTTTATATATACCCACTCATATATGTGTGAGAATATAGATATGTATGTATGTGTGTGTATGTGTGTGTGTGTATATATATATATATATATGTATATGCTTGTCTTCCTCATCAGTGTGTATATGGAAAACTATACCTATACCTAGGTGAAATGTTAAGTTCACCTTATATTTACATTTTCAAGTTTATTACTTGTCATTATTACTTGTCATTGAAGTCATTACCCCTCTTTTGCCTTCAGTTAGACTAAATTGCTGCCAGATGAACAGATGGTAGCCCTGTGTGGTCTAAACAACTGGACTTAGATGTAGATTTAGCTAATGGAGAAAGATTAGCATGCTTTTCTAGACAACCGTTTAAAAAATCAGTTTTATATCTGAACGTAGCTATATTACTAAATATTTTTGAAAGATGTTTGTTCTGCAGAGCAAGTTTCAGAGAAAACAATGCTTAAGTACAATCAGATATCTTGCTAATCCTTAACTGTTGGTAAATTGTTCCAACTATAATTTTATAAACTAGCGCTGGGTAAAAAAAAAGAAAACAGTCCCATTGTAACTCATCCTCTTTATTTAATAATTGCAAGCCCTTCCGAGGGAAGATCCATGCCACTGGTTCCAGACTACTTTAACATCGGAAGTCTGATTGCTTTTCGAAGTCATGGCTACAGACCCATCCAAACTGACCCGCTTGTTCTTCCATCTCCTATCACAATGCCTTTGTATGGGCAGACCCTCTGCCTGGAATGCAGCCCTCCTCAATTGCACTTCTTAGAACCCTTCTTCTAAGCTCCATTCATGTGCCATCTTTATGAGAAGCCTTTTTTTTAAAATTTCCATGTTTAGTGTTTTGTTTTCCTTTCTTCAGATTGCCATGTATATGCTTTTTTGCTTACAAGTTGTTTACTGCTCGGAGAGTGAAGTTCCTTGAGGGCAGGAACTGTTTTTCATTTTGTTTTTGTGCCTCCAGGACCAAACATAATTTCTTGTACCTTTGTTGTTTTTCTGGACCTGTGATTTCACAAAAGTAAGGAACTCCCTGCATGTAACCCTGTTTTAGTAATGTAGACAGCAGCTCTTCTGTAATTTCTATCTTGGAAAGTCCCCAGGACACTATGAAATTGAGTGACCTGCCTGCAATCACGTAGCTCATACCTTTCAGAGCCAGGGCCGAGCCCCTGTCTTCCTAGCTCTCAGTTCACCGTACCGTGGGGCCTCTTTGTCTTGCACAAAGTAAGGGTTTAATAAATGCTTACTGGATTGCATTTGAATTATTCTTACCGCTGCTGTCTTTAATAACTAGTGCCTGAGTAATTCCCAGGTTTCACATCCCTTGTCCTTATGATTTTTTCCCCTTACTGTATGCAGAACAGAGAGATTAGAGTTACATGGTAGATCTCTGTGTGAAACCCTTAAATGAAAACTAGCATTGCATACAGCATGACAGACCCTGGGACTATTTTTTCTGCAAATAAAGGTCTTTCTATTTAGTTATATATTTGGAAAGAATTATGAAACTGCTTTCCTCCATCTTTTGACTTGCTTAGCTAGGTCTGCAGTGAATTGTGTTCCTGTCAGCAACCACCACTCTTGTATTATTCTTTCTATTATAGACAAGTATTTGAAAGTTCGTAGTCACACAAAACCAACTTATGCTTGAAGTGGTTTTCTAAAACCGGTAATAATTCTTACAGAAAAAAATACATTTTAAGCAACATCTAAACACAAAACTCAACAGGATTTTGACATAAAGTAACAGTGGTTTCACCTTAACTTGCAGGCATTTTTCAGTTTATGACTTAGCAATCAATCTACAGGAAGTTTCTTGTATCACTGCTGTATTTAAAGTAATTATTATTGACATGGATCCTATAAGGAGTATAAAAATTGGAACATGTTTTACCTATGGTATTTTAATTATGCATATTTTAATAGCTTTTCCTGCTGTTGGCACTTTCCACTATTACGATGTGGGCAATAGGATACATAATGGACCTCAGTTCAGATTCTTGGCTTTTAAAAGGAAGTCTTCTCGTTGCAGTATTTTTTGTTACATCTTTATTTCCACGGTATGTATACTTTTTCCTGACTTGCTATCGTAATGGCTGTTCATTCATTCTTAGTTGGATACAGAACCAGCAGAGCTAGGGTGGGGCAGTAACAGCTTTGTTCAGAGTGCTGATTGTCAGAGGACCCAGACAACACTTGTATTCCTTTGGCAGATAGAAACAACCCATTATACTTAGTTAGCAAGAATGGCACGCTTCCTCCCTCAGTAACCACTCTCTGCATGAGCCATTTCCCTCCTCACTTTGTTCCTTCCTTCACTTTGCTTCCGCAGTAGTGTCCTGGAGTCTCCTCCCTCCTGGGGGCCTTGTGTCCTGATGATTTTCCTCAAGGCTTCCCTTTCCCCCCTTCAACCGAACTTATCCTAAGTAATAATAGTTTTATTTTTTATCTTTAATTCAATTTTATTTTATCTTCCTATCTGCCTTTTCTCCTTCCCAGATCCCTTTCCCTCCTTCCCTCATTGAGAAAGCAAAAACAAATTCCTGCACTGGCCATGTCCAAAAAAGAAAGAAAGAAAGAAAGACAGACAGAAAGAAAAAGAGTATTGTTGTGCACTCTGAAACTAAGGAATCACTTTGAGAGCACCTTTCATGCTGCTTGCCTCAGTGTGTGTGTGTGTGTGTGTGTGTGTGTGTGTGTGCGTGTGTGCATGTGTGCGTGTGTGTGTGTGTGTGTGTGTGTGTGTGTGTGTTGCTTGCCCCAGGTCCCAGAATCAGTAGTTGTGGCTCTACTGCTTTTCTGGGTTTGTGTCTTTTCCTATAAATGTGAATGTTAATAATCAACATAATTAAATCCTGAAGGCCAGTGGGATGGGTGAGCTTCATGCAGTGTTTTTCAGTGGGGAAGCAAGGCTGGCAAGATCGACTGGCCTGGGGCCTGTTGTTTCTCCAGGCAGCAAGCGCCCTTATCGTTATTTAAATGAAATTATCCTATTGCAGTCACCTTTCTCTGCCTTCCTCCCCTTTGCCAAAGCATGGCTGCTTTGTTGTTTTGGAGAAGTCAAAGGCCATGTTTGAAAGGCTTACAGCTTTATCTTTCAACATGTGTGTGACTAATCCACTTGACAAAAATGGGTGAGATGCTTCATGTCACTTGGGAAATTCTGAATGTATTAAGTTTGTATCTTCCTGTGGAGGTGACTGAAATATGGAAATGCTTAAGGTCTATTCCATGTGTGGTCAGGGAAATAAGATAAATACAAATGAAGAATATTTGTTATATACCAGAATATGTTTTTATATAAAATACTATTTTTACATAGTATTTATGCTATGGCATTTAAATACTAGAGCAATTTTGTAAAACTTTGTCATTGTACATAAAATATGTGAGAACATTTGAACTTTTAGATCTACAAGCAATCATAGAATTGCAAAGGACCCTAAAGATCATCAAAGCCAACTTCCTTATTTTACAGATAAAAAAACTAAGGCCCAAAGAGATGAATTAAGTTATATAAGTCAATGGACTTGGGACAGTGAAAGAGACTCAATGATATATTGGTCTGTCAGTGAAATAGGAAGACAAGCCACTGGTTAGGTACTTTGACAGCAATTTAGAAATATATGATTATACCTAAAACATTCCATATATTTTAGCTTCATAATTCTTTAAAACAAAACAAGTCTAGATGACTTGATAAAAATGTGTGAAAGTTTTAGGTTATGGGCTAAAAAAGGTTTTCTCTAAGAATTAAAAAATTACTTTGTGGGAATGGGGGGCAGAAATAGAGCTAACTATTGACAGTGCATAGAATTTTCCATAATCATTTTTGTCTTTATATTCTCGCCACCTAGAACAATGTCTGACAAATAGGGGGGCACTTACTAAATGTTTGTTGATTGGTTGATCATGTTCTCTAGAAATAGGTTTTCCTTTTTTTTCCCCCAGGTTCCTGGTGGGGCACAAGAATCTCAAGTATTTGCCAGCCCTTATTTTGCTGAGCTCCATTTTTTGGATATCCCTGACGTGGTTCATCTTATTTTTGCCTGATATCCTTTGTGAGAACTAAATTATGTTTTTTACTTTCATCCAATGCCAGGTTAATTTCTCTGCCCTCAAAAAGAAGTATCCTTATTCTCAATTGAGTATCAGATGAAATTCAGGGAAGGAAGTTGAAATGCACTTCCATTTAAAGCAGGGGTCCTTATCTGGATACTTCGAAAAAAATTTTGATAAATCTATTTCAACAGAATTGATTTCCTTTGTAATCTCAGGGATTTAATTTTAAAATTTAAAAATTTTATTTAAAAATATTTAAAAATATTATTTAAAATTTAAATAATTAAAATTTTTAATTTAAAAATAATTTAAAAATATTATTCTGAAAAGGGTTCTAGAGGCATCACCAGGTTGCCAAAGGGGCCCACAACACAAAAAAGATTAAGGATACCTGCTTTAAAGATTCTAATTGAAGGGGTTTCATGCATGAAAAATATGTTTTTACCTTCTGAAAGAAGACTCAGAATGCTGTGGGAACAGAAGGTACCCAGGCTTTTTATTATTTAGAACAGTAGCATGAGATAGTACATTTTAAACTGTAAATATGCACGTAAATATGGTTGATTTCTTAAATATGTCCCTTGAGTGGTTTTATCACTTAACTTGGCCAGGAATTTTATGCAACAGGGATTCTTCAATGAATAAATCCTCTGGGAACAAAACACCCATTAGCAAAATCGATGTAGTCTTAGAAGAGTTTGGAAGACTTTCTTGTCTCTTCATTGTTTTATTAGTGACAAAAGCAAGCTAAGAATGAAAAGACAATAAGTCTTTCTTAGATACAGAATTCTTGTGGAGCTGAAAGGCCAGACAGACCCTGCCTAAGCACAGAATTCAGTTGTGGAGGGAGAAGGAGAGGAAAGGAAAAAGCATTTAATTACCTGTGTGCCAGGTTCTATGCTAAGTAATTTATGATTAGTATCTCCTTTGATCTTCACAACAACCCTAGATTGTAGGTAGGTAATTAGCTGCTGTGATTGCCATTTTTGCAATTGAGGAAACTGAGACAACCAAGTTAAGTGACTTGCCTAGGATCATATAGCTAGTAAGTGCCTAAAGCTAGATTTGAATTCAAGTCTTCCTGACTCAAAGCCCAGCACTCTATCCACTGCAACACATAGCTGCCTTTGTAGTTTGGAAGACCTACTTCTGTAGGAGAGGGGAAGGCTCCACTCAGGTGACAGGCAGTTGCAACAATCACCTGACAGGCAGCTACTGAAAGAGAAGTAAGAGTTTATCTCCACGTAGGCCCCAAAGACTTCAGGAATCATAGCCTCCATTGCTAAAATGGAAGAGAGGAACAGTGAACCTTTCTGGAACTCAGATGGGAAGAGATTAGGGTCTTGAAATACATTCCTGTGTTATTTCTAATTATGGTCATGAGATTTATGACAATGTCCGTGGGGTGCATCCTCTTTGTTAACAGAGACATAACATTATGATTGGAAATGAATTGAGTTTACTTAGACCAAAGATAATTAGACACTTTTAAATCTGAATATAATACAAAATACAAAGAAATACAAAATAGGCAGACCTGATAGGGGATTATAGCTGACAAGATGGAATACTTCATCTCCTTGTCTAGAGTCCACCTTGGTACATAGTTGTTCCTAAATATTAAATGTAAAATTTACTGTTCATGAGAGGCTCTGGGTAAGTCACTAGATGGCATACTTCTTCTTCAGATAAATGTGATTTTTTCTTTTAAAGCAATGAAGCTGACCTGCATATACCCTTTGGAAATTTCCTTCGTGGGCTATGTATTCCATAGTCTTGTTTTCCTGTTAAAAATGTCCAGTATTTGTTCAAATTCAGATTCTTCATGTGGGTGTTATTTTTTTAAAAAATTTTATATATTTTTTCAATTACATATCAAAACAATTTTTAACATATTTTTTTAAATTTTGAGTTCCAAATTCTCTCCCTCCTTATCTCCTATCCCCCTTCTTTGAAAAGGTAAGCAATTTGATATAGATTATATGTGTGCAGTCATGCAAAACTTATTTCCATATTAGTCATGTTGCAAAAGAAAACACAGACAATTAAAACCCCAAGAAAAATAAAGTTTAAAAAAGTATGCTTTGATCTGCACTTCATCAGTTCTTTCTCTGGAGGTAGATAGCTTTTTCATCATAAGACCTTTGGATTTGTTTTAGATCATTGTATTGACGAGAAAAGCTAAGTCAATCACAGTTGATCATCATACAATATTGCTGTTACTATGTACGCTATTCTCCTGGTTCTGCTTGCTTCACTTTGCGTCTGTTCATATACGTCTTTCCTGGTTTTTCTGAACCCAGTGGATGCTATTTTTAATGCACATGCAGCCTCTGTGTAGACATCACTTATTAGAAGACCATTTTGTGGTGCACATGTAGGTAATATACTTTTTCACTAACCCAACAAGCATTCATTAAGCTTCTACTACACACAGGATTCTATGACATCAGTATTGTTCTACCTGGGGTATGTCTTAAGGAAGGTTAAGCATTTTTGCCCTTGAGCAGTTTATAATCTGGGCAATAAAATAGAACTGACATATGTGAAATTATTAGGGAACAATTAAGTGAACGATGGAGTGGTATTAATAATAAGTGCAGTAGGGATATAACCATAGAAACCTTCACGAAAGAGATCAAACTTAAGCCGGGCCTTGAAGAGTGATGCAGAATCCAGTTTGACAGTAACAGAGGATGTAGAGAAAGGTTTGTCATCCTATGTTTCATCTCCCAAGCTGTGTTACTTCAGTTTACCTGCAGTGATTCTTTTGTTGGGCTTTTGTAACAGTGACAGGAAACTCAGTTGATCTTGTTTGCACAGGGTCATCTTAAAGTTACCCAGGCAGTAGAACAAGTACTTCCAGGGAAGCCGCTTGTGTATGTAGCTTATTTTAAGTTATGCCACATCAATGTAAATCTGGTTTTACAAGAAAAAAAAGTTAAGAGGTGACTCTGCTTTTCACAGTGACTCACCTTAGAGTTCCCTTAAATAGTGAGTGATCTTATTTTATTTAAAATGTGATGTAATTTGCAAAGAAAAAATCAGTTTATATATAGTCTTTATATTTCTTTTTTTTTTTCACATTTCAACCAGATAGCTTAGGTCTTGTGTAAAGAAGAGGGTGAGATGAGTATTTGGAAGTCAGAAGCTGTTACTACTAATATCTTTTTTGCCGTGAGTCTGCCTGCAGCTAGTTTATAAAAACTGAAGTGTCTAAGCCTTCTAGGCAATGTTTCTAAATTGGTCTTTATTTTTTGCAGCAGCAAATGTATTGTAATGAAGGAGAGCAAAGAAGCCAGAGACCTCACCTGGCCCTTCCTTTCGATATGCTCATCTCTACAGTGACAGTATGAAGATTCTGTACCCCACGAGGGCCTGGCAGGTCACACACAGGTTCCATGAAGACCTACACACACTATAGGGAGTGGTTGGTTAGTTATGGACACATCAGGAGCTACTCACTCTATCCCTCTGGCCACAATGGCTTTGCTGCTGCCCTAACCTGCCATCATTTCCACACCCACATACTATGGGCAAGTGGGAGTAGATACGCTAGCTTTTGTGAGCCAGTATTAGTCTTTAAAACACAACTCCATCCTTTCCTAAAAGAGCTGACATGGAAGGCCTTCATTGTGAGAAAACTCCAAGGGGAATGCCAAGGTGCTAGTTTGGACACTTCTGAGAGAGGAGAGGGGGCTGCTGATGGGGAGCTGTCCATAGTTCAAGACAAGGTTCCACGTTTGGAGATGTCCTCCTTGCAGATAGGATGAGGTGACCGCCATTCCTGGATTGCCACAGGAGAATGCTTGTTGTTGGTCTCTACCAACTAATTGGACTAAGAGGAGGCAATAACTCCAGAGGGCAGTGGTGCTGTGATTTCATCTTGTTCCTTTCACTGGTGCCACTCATGACCAGCCATGCCTTTTCATTATGTGTACTGCTTGGTCCTGTAGATCCTCCACAGAGGATCTGCCCAATGGTCAAGAGGCCTCCCCTAAGTTTTTGTTTAATTGTTTTCTTGAGTCTGTATATGTTTTGTTACATTTTGACAGTTTAACACTTGAATCCAGGATTAAACAGGGAGTGGAGAGGAGGCTTTAGGGATTGGCTTTAGGGAACTGAGATGTTATTTTAATGACTCCAAAATTCTCGCTGAAACAACAGCCCATCGTTTTAATACCAGTATACTTCTGTGATGTATAGCTATGCGTCATGGAGCAATACACCTTCTGAAGAAATAAAAGGAATGTTGCTCAGAGGGCAGTGGAGAGGCACCTCATGGGTGTGTGCTGACTGTAACATTACAGTATGGAACAACAGTACAAAAATGAACTGGAGAGTCCCCATATAAGTCTTAAAAACAGAACTATGGACGAGCCACGGTGAAGGGTGCTAACCATTTCCCATGCTTATTGGGTTCAACCACAACTGTGGCCATGTGGCCTCTGGATTTTAGGGTATGTTTTTCATAACCCAGTTTCTACCCCCAGCCCCCTTAGAGTGACATTTTCTGTGCCATGCGAGAGTCCTAACAGTAGAAACTCTAGAAAGACTATGACAGTCACTGGATGTCAGGAGACTGACTTTTTTCGATTGTAGTCAAAATTAGTGTTATAATCACTGTCGTCACTTTGTTACAACGACAAAGCTTTGTCGTTTTGTTTTTGTATTTCAAAAGAGAGATTTATCTACTTAAGAATATATTCTGTGTTAAGCCATCTGATCTGTGCTGGCTGTTTCTAGTAGCTTTTTTTTTTTCCTCCAAATAAACTTAGCATAATATTATTACTTATACTACAGTGATTAAGTGGAACTATGACCTCCGCAATGTGTGTCCCTGCCCCCAACAACCCCCATCACACCCCTTCCACACTTTACCTGGCACTTTGTGCTGCTTGCCCCTGTCCTGTAAATCCTCCCCATTTGGTTTCTCCAGCTAGTTGAGGGCCTTCTTCTTTATCTCTTGGCATTAGGAGGATACCAATGTCGTAGTAAGGCCTTTCTAGCTGTTATCCCTCCCTCACACGTTGCAAGGCAATTCGTTCTCCTTAATGCACTAAAGCCTATTTACACCCAGTCATTCAGCTCTCCATTGTAATACTATTACAAGGATTAGTAAATATGAATTGTACCATCATCTATCATAAGCAAATTTTTCAAGCTTATCTAACATACATAGAAGCTGATTATATTTGAATTTTTTTTTGCAAAGAATGTGCTTCTTTAGATTAACTACAGAAGCTGCCTTTAAATGGTTTTAGTGCAATTATCAATAAAAGTAGATTTCCCTTCCTTCTTCCTTCCTCTTTTCTCTTTCTTTAACTTCTTTCCCTGCAGTGTCCAAATTAGAGATTCGTTTCTTCTGTTCTTTAGAGGTTTTATAGTCTCTTGGAGGTCCCATAATAAGATGCAAAGATCTCTAGATGAAGTAGCGCCTTAAGCTATTATTAGATACATTTTGTGTGAATGGGGGGGGTGTTGTGAGGAGGGGGGAGATGAATTAACTAACTACTAGCTGTTCAGCTACTGAATCTGAACAACTCGGTGATGGGATAGACCCTGCTGGGAGGAATATGATATTGAAAGGAGAAAGGGGAGGGTGATACACAAGCTTCCCCCCCATCACTCCCATTTGGCTGACTAGATGTTGAATCCTATGTTCCTTGACCTGGCTTTTACATTTAACAGGCACCCCTATTCAGATTTCTTTCTTTCTCAGTGTGACTGGCCTCCTCTACTTTTTCTACAAAACCTGGGTCACCGATCCTGGCTACTCTAAGACTTCAGAAGAAGAAAGGAAAACGGTAAATTCTTTAAGTAGTTTCATTGATCTCTCCTTTGGTTTGAAGGAGAGCTGTGGAATTTCTCATTTTGTTTCATTCTGTGTCCTATTATTATCAACAGCCAAACTTTTGTTAGTGGGTTGTACCTGAGTTTCCCCTTAATCTTTATAATATATTTGGCGTTTTAAATCTTTTTTTTTTCATTTTTCATGTTTGTAGTCAGATACACATCCAGTTCTGCTAGGAAACAGTTGTCAATTAACTGAGACAGCTCGGTGGCATAGTTAATAGAGTGTGGCACTTCAAGTCAGGGATATTTGAGTTTAAATCCTGCCTCCAACACTTACTAACGTAGGACCCTAGGCAAGTCACTTAATCACAGTTTATTCAACTGTAAAAGAAAGGAGTTAGATTTGATAAGTTCCCTTCTAGCTCAGAATCAGTGATCAATGATTTCTGAATTTTTTAAGGCCTTTCCTGTAGTTGTCCCTTCCTCTCCACTTAGATGGAACTGCAACCAGAGTACTTACTTACTGGTAGGACCTCTCTCGTTGTTTGTGAGAGAGTAACAACTGTGAAGTTGCCAGTGAAGTGCCCTTTTAGCAGGTTGGCGAAAGCACTTCTGACCTTTGGTAGGAAGTCTGTTGCTTCCATAAAATCAAGAGCAAATATGACTTAGGGTTCCACCTTCTCTCTTAAAGGCTGACTTTGTCCAGTAATCTGAAGAGGGAGCGAATTGTCACAGAGTTGGTATTGCAAATCTATATGCATCCAGATTTATAGACTACAATAGAAAATGTAGTCTCGAAAAGTTATAAAATTTCCAGTGTGTAATGATTTGCTAGTAACTTTTTCAAATTGTTTTCTTTCTGCTTGTGCACTGTGCAGTGGTACTTAGCCATACATAATTAGGTAAGAAACAAAATCATAATGTCATTTTTTATGCTTTTCAGAATATCATTGCCCTTGCAGAAGCTGGTTGCCTGGATTTCAGAACTTTTTGCACAACCTGTCTTGTAAGTGAACCGAAGTCTTCTGTGTATTCTTTTTCTCAATAAAAGCAAACTAGCGAGATGGCATTACTGGAAAGTTCACTATTCTGTTTTCCATTTGGAACATTTTGTAATATTCCTATGTTCCTTTATTTTTACCAAGATCTAATTTTTAAGTAATGTTAAAAAGATCATCTGCCGTGGGAAGGTTTTATAAATACTACGTAACTTATGTGCAACTTACCTGTCCTAGGAAGAACACTGGGTTTGAAATCAGAAGGCCTGTGTTTGAGTCTTGGTTCTGCTGTTTTAATACCTGGGTGACCTTGGTCATTTAACCTTTCTGAGCCTCAGCTTTTTCATCTTCAAAATAAGTGGGTTTGGGGCAGCTAGGTGGCGCAATGGATAAAGCTCGGGCCTTGGAGTCAGGAGGACCTGAGTTCAAATCCGGCCTCAGACACATGACACTTACTAGCTGTATGACCCTGGGCAAGTCACTTAATCCTGATTGCCTCACCAAACAAACAAAATAAGTGGGTTTGACTTAGTTGGTCTTTGAAACCCCTTCCAACTTCAAATCCTATGAACTCTCAATTATCCACTTCAAAAATTATCAGTGACTTTTGTTTGACCCTGGTAAACTTCCCTCTGCCACCCAGTGTGTATTCTGTTATCCACTATGGCTTGCTCAAGAAATAAAAACTATATGTGGTTATGATGGAATACTATTGTAATATAAGAAATGATGAGCAGGATGCTCTCAGAAAAACCTGGAAAGACTTATATGAGCTGATGTGAAGTGAAATGTACTATGTTCAAAGTAACAGCAATATTGTAAGATGATAAGCTGTGGACGACTTAGCTATTCTCAGCAATACAATAATCCAAGACAACTCTGAAGGACCTGTAATGAAAAATACTATCTACCCATAGAGAAAAAACTGATGGAGTCTGAATGCAGATTGAAACATACTTTTAACTTTATTTTTCTTGAGTTTTTTTCTTGTCTATGTTTTCTTTCACAACATGACTGTTATGAATATGTTTTGTGTGACTACACATGTATAAAATATATGGAATTGCCTGCCTTCTGGGTGGCAGGGAGAAAGGAAGGGAAAGAGTTTGGAACTCAAGAGTTTTAAAAACAATAAAAGCTTAAAAAAAAAGAAATAAAAACTAACTTTTATATAACCTAATCAAAACAGAATCATGATAGTAAATATACTGCCCTAAATTCTAGGTGACATTCTAGAGTCAAATTGAAATGATTTATTGATTGTCTTCTGCTTTGTATTATCTACACCATTATATCCCTTCATTAATAATAGTTGTGATTAATATTTAGTCTATAATTTGAAAAGCATACTACTTCCTTTGGAATCACTCAGAGTCATAGAATATTAGACCTGGAAAATCATCTAGTCCAATCCCCACATTTTCAAGTGAGGAAATTGAACCCCATATAGGAGAAGGAACTTGTCTCATGTCAATCAGAAAGTAAATGGCAAATAAATATTTACAAAACCTGCAGAGTTATTTTTTTTCTATGGCTTTTTCCACCATGAGAAGAAGCTGAAGCATTAGCTACCCTTCAATTAATGCACAACTTGAGTGCTTAAGTGTCAGTTTTTCACTGAGGTCTCTTGCCCTCCCAATTAGGTAAAGAAACCATTAAGGTCCCTCCACTGTCATCTCTGTAATTCCTGTGTGGCTCGGTATGATCAACACTGCCTATGGACGGGACGCTGTATAGGTGAGATTGCATGTCCATGTCTGTTCGGGCACATGGGCACACATGTATACACATTTAATTAAAAACAGCAAACTAATCCTCTGTAATTGGCATATGGAAGATAAAGGGATCTGTTTTGGTGGTCCTTTTTTATTAAAGGGGATCATCTCTTGGAAAACAGGAGTGTTGAATCCTCAGGGCTTGTAAAAAGGGTCGGGGCCCCCAACCAGCTTCTCCACTTGCTCTTCACCCATCCTGGGGGTAGGAGAACCAGAGATGGCCGTAGATCAGGGCTGGTTTCTCTTGGGCATCTTCTTGTGCATTTTGCTCCATCCACAGACCTTTGTTTCCCTTGCACTGTGCCTGCCCTTTTGCAACATAAGAGTGAGGTATCTCAGGAGTAGTACCCAGCTTTTGCAATATGGCAGTTGGCTCTTTTTTCTCTGTGTTTATTATACTTCCACCAACCCCCTTTCCTAAAGTTTATATTCTCCATTCCATTGGTCAGGGTTACTTTTGTTGTTGGCTTTAACCATATTTAACATGTAAAAAGGGTTATTGGAGGGAAGGGCAGACCTAAATTCACATTGGGTTCCATACTTCCCTAGGAATGGCTGACAGCAAGATGATGCAACTGTTTGTTTTTGTCTTAATTATTGTTTAATGGAATGACCTTATTTGTATTTCACTTCATAAAAAGCCTTTGATAGTAAAATGTTAATTATTTTAAAATGGGAAAAAATTAAGAGGAAATTATTCAGTATTTCATTTCTTTTTTGAATTCAGGTTTTGGAAATCATCACTATTATATATTCTTCTTAATTTTCCTTGCCATAGTCTGTGACTGGATGCTATATGCAACTCTTCTCTGTAAGTATGGTTGGTTGGTTGTTTTTTTTTTCCACACTTTGGTCCATCCACCCATAACCATGATGCCACTCTCCGATTACTTTTGTACCATTCTACTTAGGTGCTGGTAAACCACACACCTTCCCTTAAAGGCTCTTCTAGTGATTAAATAAGATAAAATGAATATAAAGTGCTTTATATTTAAGGTGCTACATAAATATGTGCTACAAATTTAAGGTGCTACGTAAGTATGAGGTATTATTATTGTTGTCATTCAAAAATGGCTGTCTATGGAACTTCATCAATTGTAGAAGTCATATGAAGTAAGGGTATTGTTTATCAATTTTCAATCACAACCTAATGATTGAATGATGAATGTGCTCTTTGGATTGGCTAATGGTACCAAGCTAAAAGAGATTTCTCACTAAACTTAAAACAGATGAGAATTTAAAGTGTTCTTGTCAAATTGGAAAAATGATTGGAAATACAAGTTCAGGGAGGGCAGGCCACCTGGGGAAAAAAGACTAACTACCAGAATTCCAGATGAGAAACAACCTGCTTGGAGCAAGTATATTGGCAAAGAATGATGGAAAACCAGTTAAGTCTAAACTGGCTGATAATTTAAGAAAAACAAGTATGATTCACAGATGGGAATATAGATGTAGGAATTTAGAGAGAATGGGAAGGGTCAGGAGCTGGTAGCCTGTGAGAAAAAGAAAAACAAAAATCAAAAAACTGAACCCAGTAGCCTAGAACAAAGAAAGCTGTGATAATTTAAAAACATTTTGAAAGAAAAATGGCCTTTTACAAAGGATACTAAGCAGTTCTCCATTTCTCTTGTAGACTGATCAAAAGAAAATTGTTTTACATTAAATCAGGATGGACTTAGTTTATATCTTTAGAACAACTTTTTGACTATTTTTCATGGATGGAAATTTCTGCCTTTGGAAATTTTTAAATAGTGTACGTTGTGATTGGTATGAGTTGATTAGTTGTGGTCTCATGAGAGATATGGTTATGGACACAACTCTCAAACCAGTTCCTTATGGCACTTCTAGTCCTGAAACCAGTTATTGGAATTAATTCTTCTTGTGGCAACTTCTGTAACTAAAAGTGATTGCCAACATAGTTGGCTGCCAAACTTCCAGAGTCTTATCCTTTTAACACCTTCTGGGTCATGCTCGGCCATGCAGGAAAGTAAATTCTTTTTCTAGTGCCCTAGCTCATTTGGAGAGTTTTCCTTTTTAGGCCTGATTGCAAAGCATATTCCTGGAAAGACCTTTCTGTATTGGTCCTCAAAGAAGTAACTTCTACTTGTCACTTGGACTTAGTTTGATGGAAAAGAACCATGTTTTACATCACACTCACGTCTCTCCTCTTCGTTCCCTTCGCTAAAAATAATCATCATTATCTGATGTCTGTGTCCAGCATAAGGAGGTATTAATAGGGTTGTAAGCAACTTCCATTTACTATCACTTATTGTCTTGCCAAGAGTGCTGGATTTGCAGTGAGAGGTCCTGGGTTTGAATTCTGACTGCTATTTTACTACCCAGATGTCTTCAGGGAAGTCACTTATCCCTTCTGGGGCTACAGAATAAGCGGATTGGAATGGGTCACCTCCAAGATCCTTTCTAGCTCTAAATTGAATGAGCCAATGGTTTTTATACTCACTATTTTTTCTTTTTTCTTTATCCCTCTAGTAGTAGTTTTTTTTTATTGACTCATGTTTTCTCAACATTTTTGTACTTTGTATTTTACATTGGACATAGACTTGAAAAGTTTACCACATTATAGCTATTTTCTGTTTCTTCTCCTAAAGTACTTACACAATAAGCAAGAGACTGCTTTTTAAAAATTGTTCGATAGCCTTGTAAATAGAAATTCACATTATTCAATTTTTATGAGGTAGGTCCTATTGCTTTTCTCCTATACTTAACATTCATCCACTCATTCATTTAGTATTTACTTAGTGATACCGCAGTATATGCAGAAGAGTGGCATCTTGGATAGAGATTAAGATAAGAAAAATAAGAGCAAACTGGGAGAATAAGAAGGTATTGAAATACTAAAGACCACTATGAGGATCCGGAACAGGCATGGGAGAAGCAAGGTGTAGGAGAAGATTGGGGTGAAAAGAGGGAATTGTAGAGTTTCACATCTTAAAGGCACAGCAATGTCAGGTCATAGCAAGGTCTGAGGTGGTCTCCATTGTGACCATGTATGTGTTTGCCAGAGGTGGGAGAGAAGTCTTTAGACTTGGAGAAGTATAAGATCTGGGAGATCAGGATTTAGAATAGCTATTGATGTGGAGGATAAAGTTGCTGAAGGTGATAGAGAGAAGGTGTAATGGAAGACAAAGCTGTATGCAGAAATCTTTGGAAAGGAGGAAAAGTGTCTTGGAAGTTGGCAATTGACTTTAGAGAGGTTACTTTCTCTATTTTGCTTATGTGAACCTCAGAGGAGAAGAAATTGTCGAATGATAATGGCGGAGGATAGTCTGGAAATGCCAGTAGAAAAAGGAGCTATGTAAATGACTGTCTTGAGCTAAGATTCAGAGTAAGTGGAGGAACAGATTTTTATTGCATAGATGAGGTAGGGATAGGATAGGGCACCCTTAAAGGCTGGTGAAGTTTCACTTCATGGTAGGAAGTGAGGGACCTCCGATGCCAGCTAATCCAACCCCTTCGCTTTACGGAGTAGGAAACCGAGGCCCAGAAAGAAAGTCAGAACCTGGCCCAGGACACTGGCAGCCTCTCTAATCACTAAGCTTCTCTGGGCCTCAGTTTACTCCTATATAAAATGGGGGTTTGGATTGAATAACCTCTGGGTTCCCTTCCTACTCTGGATCCACAGCCTGTGATCCTGTGATTGAACTGATCATCTCTTCTCTTAGCCACAAGGCCTGGCTAGCCCAGGAAAAAGCAGAAAGCAGGAATCATTTGGGTTCAGAGGACCCTAATGAGGCCTTCCACCTCCCTCCACCTCTGAGAGTAGAGCTCAGAAACTCCTTAAGGCCCAGTGTAACCAAAGAAGCCCAACTGCTCAGGCCAAATGTCACAGCAGAGGCCCATCATTAAGATTTAGTGAGGAGGCAGTGTGCCCCCCCCCCCCACCGTCATGTGAGGGCATAAACATCTGACACACTCCAGGTGAGGACAGTTAAGATGAGCCCTCCCCCCAACCCCCCCCAGGCCCCTTAATGAGTTGATTGCTATCTCCCCCCCCACGCCCCCCCACCCTGTGCTTTCACTGCTGCGCAGCCCAGACACAAACTGCTTGTCACCCCATGCTTTCTCCTCTCCTCACAATGGTCTGTCCAGTAGTCCATCAACTGGCTAGCAAATGACTCACAGTTCACTTCCTGTGGGTTAAATAAGGGATCAGCTTAAATCATCGCCACTCCCAGAACCCACCTGTTGGGGATTATGTGATTTTATGAAAGAGGCCTTCTAAAGGGAGCAGCCGAGATGTGAAAACAAGTGGATGCCTATTCTTACCTGCTGCATGTCCTCAGCTGTTGCCTCCACCTGCTGTTGGAAATTGTAGTAATTACTTCGTGACATCAGGTGCTTACCAAGTAGCTTCCTTCACCATCCTAACGAGGAGCTTTATGGGAATATAAATTACTTTGACTTGTTATCTTGATTGTCGCTCCAAGATGGTTGCTCACTGAATGTTGCTGGCATGTATTCTGCAGAGGTGGGTAGGAGTCTAAGAGCTTTAAAAAAAAAAAGGCTGGATTTAGGAAATTTACTTCAGGACCAAATTGAACAGATGGTTGATAGTAAAGACAGCACACATTTTCTCTGCATCTCAGGAATTTATAAATGCTCCTTTGGGGAAAAAAAGTCTAAAACTATCAAACTGTCAGAGGCATTTATGGAACTCCATGGTGCAGCTCTGCAGAATTCTAATTTTAAAAACCATTCACCCTTTCTCCATGGTCATGGTGATTGTAATAGTTATTTAATTTTACTTTAACAGACCTGCCCCTTCATTTCTTATCTTTCATCATCAAGGGTCACCTCATTTCTCTCTCCATCCCCAAGGGGTTCTCTGAGGGAACCCTAGGTTTGGGGTCAAGAGCCAGAAGAGGCTATAGATAGATAGATGAAAGCTCCCATTAACTTGATAGAGGGGTTCCAGAGAGAGCCACTAAGTTGGGAGAGCATAGATCCAGCTCTGCATTGTTTGCCTGACTCTCAGTGTCTCTGAGCCTTTTCCCAGCAGGTGTGGTAAGGATGCAGAGGAACCACCTACTTTCATCTTTATGTGTCCCTGTTTGATTATCTATCATAAGGAGATAAGATACAGTTGACAGAAGAGTAATAGTCTGGATCTATTTGTGTTCACTACTTTGATGCTGCAGGTACTTTATAGGGCAGTACAGTAAGATGGAAAGGACGACCTGATTGGATTCAGAGGATGTGGGTTCACATCCTGGCTCTTCACCTTAAACTCTGTGTGACTGGGGCAAGGTCCTTTAAGTCCTGTACCCTTGAATTTCCTTACCTATGAAAAGAGGTGGGGTGAACTAGAGCAGGGCTTCCAAACCTGGGTTACACACAGCCCCTGGGGGGTGTACAAGGACCTTAGCAAGGGCTCTTTGTTTTGTGTGAAAAACTAACGAATGCCGTTTTCTTTCGTACATATATGTGGCAAATTCTAGAATTTATTTCATATTTTATGTTGATAAGTGCAAGAGGCTTATTGAAAGTCAAAGCTTATTGGGAGCCCTTGGACCCAAATGACCTCTGAAATCTCTTCCAGCTCTAAATGTCTGGTCCTGAGTTGAGCCCTGCACTAGGAACCTCTTAGCCTATCTCTTAAGAGGGGACGAGCTATTTGCAACTTTTAGATTAACTGAAGCATTTTGTAGAAAAGGGATGGCATATTGTGTGTGTGTGTGTGTGTGTGTGTGTGTGTGTGTGAGATACCAAGAAAAACACAGGCCAAATTTTTTTTAGCTGTAATCATTTTCAGCTGGCAAGTCCTCAATGAGTAACTTTCTTCCAGTGCGTTTTATGCTGAATCTGCTAGAGTTTTTTGAGTTTGATGGTACATTTTTTTCTGCCATTTCTTTTCTCTCCTCATTTGTTGTTAACCCACAGACCATGGGGACCCTTAGAAAACATCTTCTCATTTTAATTACGGGTCTACTATTCACACCACAACTTTCTGGAGTTCCCTGACATGTACATACATATGCTTCTCCTCCGCCAGATCTGTCCTTTTGGAGAAGGACCACTTGTCTGTTCTGTTTGCTTCTTTTCTAATAGTTCCTTTTTGTGAATCCACAGACTGGTCCACTCACTGCACTACAACATACCATCAAGATGGAGCATGGACCTACCTCAGTCAGATTGTGTCCTGTTCTCCTTGGGTTCTATACATCTTCATGCTGGTGTCTTTCCATGTATCATGGTCTACGTTTTTGTTATTAAATCAGTTCTATCAGGTATTTATTTTTTTTTTTTACATCTTATAATGTCTCTGGGCACCATTTTCTAGCTGCCCAAGTTTTTATTCCCTCACTTCTCTTATTTACTTTCTTAGAACATTACCAAACATATTTCATGTTCTCCTACTATGAAAACTGTGTTGCTCATGGTGGCGGTTGGGGAAGAGGTGAAAGGGTGAAATAGTAGCTACTGGATATAGTGATGACTCCAAAGACGATGGTGGCCATTGCAGACCTCAGGCACCTGGGCACCAGCCAACCAGCTTCCACTTACTTTACTCCCACCCTTGCCTCCCTTCGTTTCCTGTGAGTCTGACATCCTGCTACTGCTGCTGGGAGCCCCTCCTTGAATGGCTAGACGAGGGCTACCTGTGCCAATTCAAAACCTTGATTATGTGGAACCTAATTCACTAGAATCTTCAGCTAACTAACTGGGACTTTGTTGCCGTATTCTGCTTTTAAAATAAAGGAGCAGATGAGAAGAAAAGTGTCAGGAGACGCTCAGTCTACAGGATGACTTCTGAGGACAGCACATGGTGGTTGTGGATCAGTCCAGTCTTCCACATTGCCAAGAGTGGGCAGTGAATGAGGCCCTCCTTGACCCCCAGGGGTTTCGAGTTCAGTTCTTTGTTCATATAGAACTTATACATGAGGCACCATGTAAATCCTGAAAGATTTAGACTTCTTACTGTAGTTATGTGGACAGAAAGGTTGGCTCATAGATTGCAGGAATTACACCACTGAGCACCTTGTTTCTAGGGCACTCTGCTAGGTGCCATGAAACAAGATAATCCCTGCCCTCCAGGAATTTACAGTCTAATAGAGATTTCCAAGGACACAAGGTTTGTTTTGTAAGGGTTTTCTGTTTAATGCTCAACTGACCAAGAAATCATATTATTTGGGGGTTTGTGTCCTAGTTGTGACTTGGTTACATTTTTAACCATATGACCTGGGGCAACTCACTCCCTCTGTAAACCTTGGTATCTGTCAATTTTTGCTGGAATATCTCGAAGAGACCTTCTCCTTCTAGTAGTGTAGGATTCTATGAAATTCATCCTGGAAAATTGAGGTTTGACTACAGTAAATCCAGAGTAATAAGGCTAATTCAAGTTATACCATTTTATTCTTACCTTTCTGGTGTGATAATTGTCAATCTTTTAAGGTATATATACTTTCCAGAAACTTTGGCATATAAACACTACCAAAAGAATAACTCTGATTTTATTCATAAGAACAGACCCTAAAATTCAAAATAATTTAATCTGCAAATAAAATGCAGATTTTATTGATCATTCTTATTCATTTTATTTAGATTTTATTCATAGTCAGAATCATTAACTTTAGGTTGGAGCAGATGACTATTAAGGTCCCTTCCAACTCTAAATTTATGCTCTACCTTATAAGATAATAAAGCAGTTTAAAAGAGCCAGGTGTGTGCCTTTTCATGTTTGACTTTAAATTGAATTTTTAATTTTTGCTCATATCTTTTGTTTTTACCTTCACTTCGGAATATATTCCCCCTTTACCCAGCTGGTCATCCCTTGTATCAAAGACTTTGAAAAGAGGAGGAAAAAAAGAAGTTCAGCAAAGCTAACCAATATGTCAGCCTAGTGTGACAGTATATGCCATGTCATGCACCCATAGTCCCCCACCTTTTCAAAGAAAGAAGAGATCACACACTTGTTTTCTGGCATGATGATTTCTTAAAGGAATTTAGCACTAGTTTGATAGATAGTTGGTCGAACAAAGAGCCGCTGCAATATATGCAGGTTGTAGGCTTCGTTTTCTGGTCAGACAGCTAAGAGCCCTCACTTAAAGGCTCTTGAAAAACTTTGGATGCCCTTTAACGTGTTGTCAGAAATAAGTTGTTTTCTGTTACCTTTGCTACACTTTCAGATTGCGGTTTTGGGCTTGACATCACATGAGAGAATCAGCCTGGTGAAACAGAGCAAGCACATGAAACAGGCTTTTTCACTCAGGAAGACGCCGTACAAGTAAGCAGGGATCTCTTTCCTCAGCACTGACCCTGTGGGCAGTGCCCCAGCTGGCTGCCCTGACTCCCACCCACCCACATCGCCTCCCTCTCTGAGCTCATGTTGCTCCTTGCCAGGACGCTATAGCCAGAGGTGGTCCCCAAATGGCTGCTGTGGCCAGAGCTGCTCTCTGTAGGCAGCCATTGGGCCGCCCTGCTTGACATAAGCCCTAAACTGCTTTTGAGATGATGCTCAGGCAGGCAGGGTCTTCCCACAAGCCTCACAGTCACAAGGGTGCATGTTGCTCATGTGAAGAAATCAGGAGGTAGATAAGTATTCTGTGAGGAAGCCAGGCCACGAGGCCCTCCGTGGAAAGAGGGTAGTCATGAGGCTTGCCAAGACTCTTAACCTGGCCACTCACCTCTCCGTTCCTTTGTCTAGTTGCTTAATTTCTCCATGTCAAAAGGAGATTATCTCCTCGGTCTTGTGCTGCTTTTTTTGTTTGTTTTTAAATCCAGAGCCACAAGTATATTAAAAATCTGTAGTTTATTCCCAGATGGAGACAGGGGTATTTTCAGAAAAGCCTTAAGTCTGTGGTATGTGAAGACCAGCCTCTGAAGCTTCTCTGTGCCCTGGCTTCACACGTCAGGTCTAGGAATGCTGCTGAGGTGACCCAGAGCCCCCGTAGGCGAATGTTCCCAGCCTATCTCCACGAGAAGTCTATTTTAAAGCTCCTCACAGTACAAGATAAAACTGTTAGGCCTTCTCACGAGAAAGTCAGGAGCTGGGGCTTGGCTGCAACACGCCCAGGGAGAAGGGAGAGAGCCGCTTCGTTGGAAGAAGGGGCCTCGGAGGGGTGGCGGGGAGATAACGTGCCAGGTTGCCTCAGTTATTGGATCAGGGAGATAGCAAATGCAGTAAGATGAGGCGGCCACATTTTGGCAGCCAGAAGACATGGATAGCAGGGAGTTCGGGAAAGAAGAGGCTTCCTGCCAAGGATGGCTCGGCCAGGCTTCACCTCGTTGGCCTCTGAGAACTCACGGGGCTGCGCTGGACATGTGCTGCCTGGTGATATTTTAGTGGCTGACTCTGAAGTTTAATAATCATAATAAGAGCTAGCGTTTATATAGATCTTTAAGGTTTGTAAAATGCTTCACATATTTTACTGCATTTAGTTCTCACAACATCCCTAAGAGGTCGTGCCTTCTATGTGCCCGGCACTGTGCTCTTATTATCTCTATTATACAGGTGAGGAAACTGAGGCAGATGGATTAAATGGCTTGCCCAGGGTTACACAACTAGTAATATTATTATCCCCATTTTACAGATAAGGAAACTGAAGCAGAGAAAGTTTAAGTATTTTACCTAGGGCCACACAGCTAGTAAGTATCTAAGGCAGTATTTGAACTCAGGTCTTCCTTACTCTAGGTCCAGCGCTGTAGCTACTGAGCTGCCTTGCTATCTCTAGAAGGAAAAGGCTTCTTAATGATAACAGTTCCAGATAGGTACAGAGCAATTACTGTGTGCAGGGTACTGTGCTAGGGACTTGGGATCCAAAGAGAGAGAACACATGGTCCCTGCCCTCAGCAGGTTTACAGAATAATGGTGGTGGCCAGACAAGGTGGTTTTCTCAAAGTACAAGGTAGCTTGTGCTAAGTGTGATGGAAGAGTTGATTCCAATAAATGCTAGAGATGACCCGGGCTGCACACATTTATTAAATACATGCCAAGCATTGTGCTAAGCGCCAGGAATGCAAGAACAAATGCCCCTACCCGTGAGGGGCTCCATTCTAGGGGACCCCACAGATGCTTAAGTTGGCACATACAAGATACATACAAGAGTAGGCGGAAAGTAGACTTGGAGGGAAAGTACTGGCAACCGGAGAAGGGGCTGGAGAAGGCTTCCTTCCAGAAGTCGTGAGTTAGCTAAGTCTCAAAGCCTGACGGGAGGAAGCAGAGCCTTCCAGGCACTGGGGGCACAGCCAGTACAAAAGCACAGAGTGTGCGAGGGGCAGCCATAGGATACAGGAGAAGTAGTCCTCAACAGCAGGAGCATTTGGGAAGGCTTTGTAGAGATGGTAGGAGTTGAATGGGCCTTGAAGGAAAGGAGGCTTCAGACAGGCAAAGAAGGAGACCTTTTGCAAGTAGATGTGAATACAGGGACAGCAAGGGGAGTTCTGATGATTTGCTTGAAAAACAATGAGTAGGACAGTCTTTCTGGTAAGGTGTTTTCCATTGGGGGGGATGGTAGAAAATGAGGTCAGGGACACACTGTAGAGGGCCTTAAATGCCAGCATAAAGAGGTTGGACTTAACGTTTTGGGCAGTGAGGAGCCATGTAGACTGGAGCAGTGATATATAAACAATCCAGTGTTTTGATAAGGCTTATCTTATGGTAGTAGAGTATAGGATGAATTAGTGGGGAGAGAGAGGCAAGGAGGCCAGAAAGGAGACTATGATTGTAATAGTCCAAGTATGAGGTGGTTACCTGGACTAGGGTAGTAGCATTTTAAATGGAAAAGAAGAGATATTTTGATAGTAGTGACAATCCCTTGGAAGGTGGAACCTAGAACCAGTGGAAAAGCCAGGGTAGAGTACCTGGGGAAAACCAAGGAAAGCAATCCCTGTGATACCCTCAAACCAACGGTGGACTTGGGCCACCTAGTAATAGCCAGAACTGATCAGAGGATGCCCACTAAGTCCTGGTTCTCTCTTCTTTTCTCGAGCAGCCACGGATTCACTCAGAACCTTGCCGACTTCTTTCAGTGTGGATGCTTTGGCTTGTTCAAGCCTAGTGCTGTGGACTGGACCTCCCAATACACTGTGGTATTTCACCCAGCCAAAGAGAAAGTTTTACGCTCTGTATGAAGAAAAGCAGTGCTAAATTCTGAATTATAAATCTGACTTTTTGTTTGTTGGGCTGGGGCACAGAAACAAGTGAAGTTCAGAAGTTTATCAAAACTGAAGCTAACCCTCAAATGAAAACATTCTTCTAGGTCTTCATATATTAGACAAAATGGGGGCCTTTCAAACAGCTAACTCATCGCACTTTGTAATTTCAACAAGATAAACTTTTCCTGAATTATCTCAGCAAGTTACTTAAACTCTTTTGATACGTTTTTCACCAGAGTAATGCCACTGTTGATTTTTTTTTTGATTTTGAAGATTATATTCGTTGATTGTGGATAAAAATATATTTTCGCATTGTATTGGCTATTTCGAAATAGTTTTATTCTTAAAACTAGTAATTTTGGTAAATTATTTTTCTTTGTATTGCATCTATAAATCTGTATAAAAAATGTTTGAATGGGTGTATCTGTTTTTCTTTCACACTTCATAAATCAGTCTTTTATACAGATAGGTTCATTCCGTGATTTTTCCAACACTTCTAGAATTTGACTGTTTGAAAAAGGCATACATATCTTAAAGAAACACATTAGACTCACAACCCTGGAGGTAAACTGAGGATTTCATGCTAGGCAGACTCACAGGGTTAGATTCAATTGCCTGCATTAGCTAGAAAGTACAAATAGGGATAGATACAACCTTCTAATACAGTAACGTGAAAATGTAGATTTAGAGCTTAAAGGGACCTTGGAGATTAGCTCATTCTCCCTCTCATTGTACAGATGAATAGCTCGAGGCCCGAGGAGGTGAATGGGGAACTTGACCAAAGTCTCACGAGTAGTAAGGAGCAAGGCTGGAATTTGAACCCAGGACCTTTGACCTTATATCCAGTCTGCTTTGCTGTCCAGATCATAAGTCTCAATTTCCCTTTTTGTGTAAAGGAAATGTTTCAGGTCAGGCAAAATGCACCTTCATTTTAAAGGAAAATCTCTATTTGGCAGTGTAGAAATATGACTGAAAATTAGGTCTAGTCATTCACTTTACAGAGTGATTTTTCATGGTAAGGTGTGTCAGAGGGCACCTTTCAATACCAAATCTCTCAGTACATTTAAAATAGAATCTGATTTACACAAACCTTTAGGAATACATCTGTTGCAAAAAGCAAGACATGCTGATACACTGAGTTGAAAAATTAACATGCATTCCTGCACTTATTATCGGTCTCTAGACTGTGTTGAAAGAGCTTGTTGAAAGAATGAGGCTCTTATGAAATCTTGCTGTGATTATACTTGTTTCCAACCTTGGAAGGGACCTTGGAGGTCATCTAGTGTCTTCTGCTCATTTTACAGATGAGGAAAGTGAGGCACAGACTTGTCTAACACCACACAGGTGGTAAGTGACCATGCACGATTCAAGCTGAGATCCTGGGACTCCAAGCTCTGTGTTCTTTTGGCTGGGCCGTGGTCTTTAAGAACCAGCTAATAGCATCAGGTTAACACAGTTAGTGTGCAGAATTCAGGCAAAAGTGGAGATGTATAATTGCCATAATCCTTTCTCTTTGGGCCTGGAGAATCCAATGCAATACAGAATGGGACACAACCAGCCAGCATTTAGAAATGAGATGGTTTTTTTTTTTCTTTCAGAATTCCCAGTAGCATTTTAACTACCTTTAAGAATAACTTTAAAATGTTAAACTTAATTAAGAAAAGAGAAAGCATATGTATTACACTCTAGATTGAGTTGGCTGATTTATTTTTATGGAAACAGTGTTTATGCCCCATCTGTACTGGCCTTCATACAAACGTGGTTGCGAGGGCAGCTGAATGTATGAAGCCATTTCAGGTCCTTTTGTATTTCCTTTCCAAGAAACAATCACAAAACAACCATGTTCCTAGTTTCGTACCAGCATGCTGTGCTGTGTTCTCCAGATCTGGATTCCAAAGAGACCCGCATTCCAACTCTTCTTCTGGCTTAATAACCATGGGCAAATCACCTGACTGCTCCAAGCCTCAGTTTCCTCGTCTGTAAAACTGAGATTGTGATACTGAAGTACCGATTGCAGAGTTGTTGTGAGGATTAAATAACAAATACTTATTGAACTGAATTGAGATAATTATAATAACTAATATAGAGAGCTTTAAAGTTTGGAAAGTGCTTTACTTACATTGTGATGTTCATAAAATTCTTGGTCTACCTTAATGCCCTATGTAAATGTCAGATTATTAATATTACTGTTTCACAACTTTGAAAACCACATTTTTAAGTCAAGTCATTTAAATAATAATAATAATAATAGGGATAGCTAGCATTTATATAGTGATTTAAGGTTTACAAAGTACTTTACAGTATATCATTTTATCTTCACAATAGACTTGGCTAGTAGGTGCCATTATTTTTCCTGTTTTATAAGTGGAGAAACTGAGGCACCGAGCAATTAATTGACTTGCCCAGGGTCACATAACTAGTAAGTGTCTGAATCTAGATTTGAACTCAAGACTTCTTGACTTCATGTCGAACAGTGAGTCTGTCTGCTGTGCCACCTCGCCGCTTTAAGGTTCTCTCAAGTGGTAAGGACTAATTTCCACATATCTGTATGGGAATGTAGCCACTGTTAAATGCATGTACTCAGAAAGTACTGACTGAGATGACTTAGTCTATAAGTATTACAAGAGTTCTCTTAGTCCTTTATGGGGCCCAGCTTAGTGCCTTGTACATAGAAGAGGTGCCCATTAAGTGTTTGTTAGGTCAGTGTGATATGGGAAAGAGGGAAAGTAATGGAAAGATGAAAAGTTTTTTTTTTCTTAAATCCATGAAGTTTCATGTAGTCAATGACAAGATACAGTTTTTCAAGGTGACTACAATCTGTTCAGGATGGAAAGGTTGAGGAAGTTGAGATTATTGCAGAAAATTATGGTGAGTTTATCAGCAGAGTATATTTAAAGAGTGCTGGATTGGTGTCTGAGCACTGGGGTGAAAATCCCTACTCTCCTTAGCTGCCTGTGTTCAGCAAATCACTTACTGTCTCTGAGCCTCAGTTTCCTCAGAAGTCACTCCCAGCTCTAAATCTGTTATTAGATCTATGATAGTGTGTGATCCAAGATCATACACTAACCAGATTACAGTGAAGACAGCATTCTGCCGATAGGAAAGTGCTGGGAGCCAGGCCTGGGCATTTCTAACCCATCTCCAGGTGGATCCTCAGGCTACTGGCCCATGAACACAGCACTTTCTGTTCTGTGGGCCAGGGCAGACGAGCATCTGATGTGGAGGTTGGGGTGATATCCTAAACCTCAAACTTACACATGAAGATCATCAAGATCATCTAGTCCAAGCTGTCTGTATTCTAGATGAGGAAACTGAGGCTTTGAGAGGCTAAGTGATCACACAGGTAAGGAAGGAGCAGAGCTGGGATTGAACCCAGGCTCCCTGACCCCAAGTATATTACTTAACACTCTCCTCTGCTGATAGAGTTACCAGTTTTGTTGACTTAAGCATTACATCCCGAACAGAAAGCTTGTTGCCGCCAGGTGGGAACTGTAATGTCCTTAGCATTAACTATGCCAAGCTCGAACCTCTTTATGGCACTACTGCTGATCAGAATCCCTTTGGAAACAGGTGGGATGAGATATTTATCTTGTGCCTTATTGTTAGCCTTCAGGTTTCTTTTTGCTGAGAGCCTACTGTGTGGTGAGGGGTCACAGTGAGCAGTGAGAATAAATCCTAGTCCTCAAGCTTACCCTCTAAGTAAAGGGATAAGGTAAGTTCAAAGAACCCTGGAGTCATCGAATGTCTGAGCTGAAGGGAACCTGCCTTCAGGTCCTCTAGTCCAGCCATTTTGTTTTGTAAATGAGGAAACTGAAGTACAGGGAGATAAAGTAAGTCATCCAATATCATGTGGCTATTTAAAGACAAAACCTGGGGCAGCTAGGTGGCACAGTGGATAGATCACCGGTCCTGAAGTCAGGAGGACCTGAGTTCAAATCCGGCCTCAGACCAAACACTTGGCACTTACTAGCTGTGTGACCCTGGGCAAGTCACTTAACCCCAGTTGCCTAAAAAGGGGAAAAAAAAATAAAGACAAAACCTACATCGCATGTTTTTTGTCATATTTAGCTAAGATCAACCCTTTAAGTGACATTCACACTAAAATGAACTTTGCCCAAGAAGGCAGTCATTGAAAGAACAAAAGAGACAGTTGTACATACAGTGCACTTCTTGTTTCAAATGAGATAGGAAATAGATCTAAATCATTGGTTCTTAACCTTGAGTTAATTAACTTCCTTAAAAATTATTTTGATAACTAAATTTCAATATAATTGGTTTCCTTTCTAACCCTATGTATTGTATTTTATGCGTTTAAAAATATTACTTGGGAAAAGCGATCCATAGGCTTCACCAGACTGTCAGACTTAGCCTCTCTGGGCCTCAGTTTCCTCATCTAGAAAATGAAGAGCTTGGACTAGTTGATCTCTATGATTTTCACAGAAGAAGGTCAAGAACCCCTAAAACAGTATCTCAAACAGTTCTTGCCCTCAGAGACAAGAGCAGCTGGGCAAGCCAATGAGATTAGGATTAGAATCATGGTGTGTAGAGCTGGAAGGGACCTTAGATCATCTAGTCACTCCCTTTGTTTTATAGCTAAGGAAACAAGCCCAGTGAGGAGAAGTTACCTCCCCCATAAAAGTCACTGTCATCCCTAATTGGTGGAACTTGTCTCCCAGTGCAAGCCCACTTAGACTTGTCCCCTGGCAGTCCCTCCTGCAGCTCCTCTCTAGGCTGTGCAGGCACCCAACCTGAGTCAAGGGTTTGATCCTCAGGGCTTCTAGGCACCTGCCCCTCAGTTCACCTCATGGATGCAGAAGTAACCCTTGGAGGGTGAGTTCTGTGCTCTGCATCAGGGATTGGTGAGTAAGATCCCTGATTTTCCCCATTTTGTTTTGAGTGGGACAGAGAGTTGCATAGGATTAGCAGCTATACAATAGCAGTTATAATCTGGATTGCAGCTAATACTAAATTATCATCCTGTTGTTCAGTCGTTTTCAGTTATATCTGACTGATCCCATTTGGGGGATTTTCTTGGTAAAGATATTGAAGTGGTTTGCCATTTCCTTCTCTAGCTCATTTTACTGAGGAGACTGAGGCAAAGTTAAATGACTTGCCCAGGGTCATTACAGCTCGTAAGCATCTGAGGTCAGTTTTGAACTTGAGTCTTTCTGACTCTAGGCCTGGAGCTCTATCCACTGCACCACCTTGCTGCCTAGTCATTTTGGTGATTAGGTCACTTGGTGAGTTTTCACCACTTAGCTGTCATGTTCAACTCCTCACTTTCTTTTTCTCCAAACATCTTGTTGGTTCTACCTTCACATCCTCTCTCATATATGTCCACTTCTCTCCACTCACCCAGCCC